ACCCTGGAGTTGCTCTTTGTTCACACGCTCATTCACTGGTCTGTTGAAATGTGCACCAGGCCCACTTCTGACCCCAGCACCAACACAGGGGCAGTTAGGCACACAGAAGACTCCAGCCCAGTTCCTGTCTTCATACTTGTCCAACTTTCAGAGGCACAGCCCATACAGTGCTCAGCCCCCTTCATGTCCCTCCCAGAGGCATATGTGCGCAAGGGACTCCCCTCTCCCCGGAGCTGCCCCTGTGGATTGGTCTGACCCTTCTTTGGCCTTGTTCTTACCCATCAGAATAGGCTTGGATTTGAGGCCAGGTTTAACCTTTGTGTGACCTTGAACAAGTCACTTTGAAGTTTGAGGCACCTTGTCTGTAAAACCTTTCCTTCATTGAGTTGTAAAGATGAAAAAGTAGTGTGGATGTGAATGTTCTGCTGACAAAGCCCAGCACACAGTAGGTATCCAAGAAATGTGGGTTTCTTCCTGGTCTTTCTCCTGCTTTGAGCTTAGGAGGGCTTTAGGGCACAATCCTTCCCTGGCATCCATGTGTCTCCCTCCCTATACCACCACCTCCCTTTTTTTTAGCAGCCATACTTTCCTGGTCAGTCTCTTCATCCCAAAGCCCCTTTTTTCTCTTCCTTTGTCCCCCAACCCTTGCCTCACTTTACTGCTCCTTCTTCCCTACCTGCTACTTCCTTGAGCATGTTTCACAACCTCGGCATCCCTGGCATGACTCAGTATTGCCACTGTCCTCTCCAAAGTCGCATTGTCCAAAGGCTGTGCCTGTTGTTCTTAGGAGCAGCAAGCTGCCCTGAGTGTTCTCAGGGTTCTTGCCCACACGGGCTTCATTGTGGGGTCCAGAGCAATCCTTGGGCTGCCCATTGAGCAAACTCAGAGTTGCCCCAAGCTGCTGCCGTGTCCCTCCAGCCTTCTCTGATTATTATTGTCATATTTGCCTGTGTTCTCCCTCCCTTCCCGAAGCTAGCTACAATTTCAGGGTCAAGCAGGCTCTCCAGCCAGCTGTAGCCATCACAACAGTGCTAACTATGTATCCATGGCCTCTTTTGCATTCTCATTCTTTGACAGATGGAGAAATAACTATAAGGAGGTTCAGTCAGTCACTCAAGGTCATACTGTCATAAAAGAGCAAATTCAGGTTTGACACACCTTGGCCCCTTGGTTTGGGCCTCATCTAGCAGCCAGCCGGTGTCACCAGAAGGAAAAGTCTTTCCTCATTGCTTACTTTTGGGGTCCCTAACACTTCCTTTTCCCCAACAGCCCGTGCTCCCACACACAGCTGTGTGCCTCTTATGTGGGGAGGCTGGGAAGGAGGACACGGTGGAGGGAGAGGAAGAGAAGTTTGGTTTGAGCCTCATGGAGTGTACAATCTGCAACGAGATCGTCCACCCTGGCTGCCTAAAGGTGATGGCCTTTGGGTACTCTGGAGTCTGGGGTGGGGCAGATTGTCGGGGTAGTGATACAGCCTTTGGGTTTAATGGCACCCAAGACCCACTCCCTGTCTTCTGCCTACAGATGGGGAAGGCTGAGGGTGTCATCAACGCGGAGATCCCCAATTGCTGGGAATGCCCTCGCTGTACCCAGGAAGGCCGGACGAGCAAGGTAGGGGAAGGGGTTGAGCTAAGTGCTGGGCACTGGGTTGGCGGTGAGTTGGGGAACTGTGCAGGACCTCACCCCCAGCTTCCATCTCCCCAGGATTCAGGTGAGGGACCAGGCCGCCGCAGGGCTGACAACGGCGAGGAGGGCGCCAGCCTGGGGAGTGGATGGAAGCTGACGGAGGAGCCGCCGCTTCCTCCACCCCCACCCAGGCGCAAGGGCCCTCTACCTGCTGGTCCCCCCCCAGAGGATGTGCCTGGGCCCCCCAAAAGAAAGGAGAGGGAGGCAGGGAATGAGCCCCCTACCCCAAGGAAAAAGGTGAGCCAGGGAGCATGCACACTAGTTACAGCTAAGGGATTCTGGGAACTGTAGTCCTGTTTTTTATGGGGAGGGTGGGCCTGGAATGCAGTGCTCTGTGGGTTCCCTCAGGGGTTGTTGGGAGATCGAGTTCAGGAGTTACTGGGAGGAGGATAGAGCATGCTCAGTGTGGAAGAGAGGTGCAGGTGAGGGGCAACCCAGTGCTGGGCAGGGAAGCTTTGGGAGCCCTGGGTGCTATAGGAAGGAAGGAGAGAGCATGCTCAAATTAGCTGCTACAGAGGAGGAAGGAGGGGCTGGAAAGGGCCTGAGGGGGACTAAAGAGGAGATGAGAGCATGCTCAGTGAGCCAAGACACTGGTTGCAAGGTGAGCATGCTCAGAGTTCTCTCTGAGATGGGGGCTTCTGGGATATGTAGTCTAAGAGGAGGGCATGGATCTTAGTTTTGTGGACAATGAGGGGCTAATGGGGTCTCTCCCCAAATCTCCCTCTTGCCCTGGTAGGTGAAAGGAGGCCGTGAGAGGCACCTGAAGAAGGTGGGTGGAGACGCCTGCCTCCTCCGAGGATCGGACCCAGGCGGCCCAGGCCTTCTGCCCCCCAGGGTTCTGAATCCGAGCCAGGCTTTCTCGTCCTGCCACCCTGGGCTCCCTCCCGAGAACTGGGAGGTGTGCCGGGGACCTCCTCCCTCCCCTTCCCACCTTTCCTGGCCCCACCCTTCATTCTGGAGACAGAGATCTGTACCTTCCTGCTCATCTTGTCCTGCCCCAGGCCCACTTAGCCATAATGAGCATCTGGACCCCTGGGAAGAGTAGAGGGAACAGTGGGTTTGGGGCCAGAACCCTTGGGGTATCATCTGACCCATTGCCTCATCTTTCCAAAGCTAAGAGGAGAAAAAACCAAGTTCAAATCCTTGCCCAATTGCTGACTCCCAACGTGGTATTGGCAACTTAGCTGCTGTGAGCCTCAGTATCCTCGTTTGTGAAATGGTTATACTATTTACCCACCTATTCCACAGAAATATTTAAATCTAATGAAAGTCGATAAGTTTTGAAACTATAAAGCCTACCTAGATTTAAGATTTATCTAGGCCCAGAGAGGGTAGAAGACTTGCCAAAGTCACACAGCAAGCTGGAATTCACATGTCACTATGCGCTAACACGCTAATGGCAAGGGTCCACCTGACTGTTCAAATTTTGCATCTGCCATTTGTCAGTTTGTAACCTTGGGCAGGTCTTGTAATCTCTGAGTCTCAGGTACCTCAGATCTGAAAAGAGTGCCCCAGTTGCAGTCCACTTGAGCACTGTGAGGGTGTAATGAGGCACCGAGTATGTGATGCTTGCCTGGAGCCACACAAGCAGTTATTCTCACAAGGTCATGGCCAGTCTCCCTAGAATTATCTAGTACAGTTTCCATGTCATATATGGTGAGGTGGGAACTTCCCACAGAATGTTTATAGTTGAGCTAGTGTTCAGAAAAGTAGATCTTTTAACTTCTCTCTACTTCACTGCTTGTGGAAAGTCCTAAGCTGTTGAAACCTGTTAGGCTTTTTGTCCTTTGAATCAGCACCTCCACGTGACAGATAAGGAAACTGAAGTTTTCTTTAGGTCCAAAGAGGGACACGACATGACCAAGGCCTCACTCTGCTCAGGAGCAGAGCCAGAGCTAGAACTCAGGACTGTCCCCTGGACTGTTTACCCTTGTGATTCCTCAGGTGCAGGAGGGTGGGAAGGCATGTGCCTGGCCCTAGAACAGCTTCCCCTGTCTCTCTGCAGAAACCAAAGCCGCCTTTGGCCTCTGCTGAGGGCCCGGCAGTGCCGTCTCCATCACCACAGAGGGAGAAGCTAGAGCGTTTCAAGCGGATGTGCCAGCTGTTGGAGCGGGTGCCTGACACTTCCTCATCCTCCTCTGACTCCGACTCCGACTCTGATTCGTCAGGCACATCGCTGAGTGAGGACGAGGCCCCTGGGGAGGCCCGGAACGGGCGACGGCCAGCCCGGGGCAGCTCAGGCGAGAAGGAGAACCGTGGGGGGCGGCGGGCTGTGCGCCCTGGCAGTGGGGGGCCCCTCCTCAGCTGGCCCCTGGGCCCTGCCCCGCCGCCCAGGCCTCCACAGCTGGAGCGGCATGTGGTACGGCCCCCACCTCGAAGCCCTGAGCCCGACACGCTGCCTTTGGCTGCTGGATCCGACCACCCCTTGCCCCGCGCCGCCTGGCTTCGTGTCTTCCAGCACCTAGGCCCCCGAGAGCTGTGCATTTGTATGCGAGTCTGCCGGACTTGGAGCCGCTGGTGAGTGGCCCGAGCAGGGCTGGGTTCCGTTGCTACACTCTCCTCATTTGCTGTGTGACCAGCGACAGGTTTCTGATCCTCTCTGGGCCCTGTTTTTGTGTTGAAAACCCTTATGTAGTACGTATCTGGTGTGATACTTGCACAATTTCTATGCAGACTGCTTTCCATTTATGAGTACATTTAACCCTCGTGACAACCCTGTGAGAAAGTACTGTTATCCCTTTTTCAGATGAAACTGAGGTCAAGGTCATGTGAAGAGGAAGCAATAGAACCAGAAATTTGAACCCAGGCCCTCTGGCTCCAAGATCTTTCCTCTTAGTAACTGTCATTAACGAGTTTAGTATGTGCCAAGCAGAGCACTCTACCCTGTAGTTGTCGTCTCGCCTGCCATCCCTTTTTCGGGCACTGGCCTACTGCTGTCTACTTCCACATAAGAAGCCTTTTGCTGAGGTGGCCCCTGCCCTCTTAGAGACAGCCATACTTGGGTCTCCTGACTCTGATGGCAACTTCCTTATGCCACCAACACCCTCTCCCCGCTGCTTCTTGAACCGTGTTTGTTCAGAAATGTTGGTCATCCTTGGAGGCTCCTGCTCTTCTTCCTTGATCCTGCCCCTGACCAGTCCTCCCCCAGCAGCTCCTTAACACTGTGTTCCCCTCCCTGAGCGCGAGGAGGCCTTCTGCGTGCTGAGGAGCCTTCATTTACCCATTCTCATGTTCCTGTCACTTGCCAGTGTGGGGCAGTTACTGCATCTGTTTTATCTTCGTGTTTCCAGCATAGAACAAGGGACAGTGTAGGTGCTTAAGAAATACTTCATTACAAAAGTCAGTTCAGATTCTTTCCCAGGCTCTTACCGGGCCACTAAGTGGTCCACAGTTAGCTGATTTTTTTCCCTCATAGTGGCAGCCCTGGCAGGAGATGAGGGGCACCCGAAGTCACAGGGCAAGTTCGTGGCTTAGCCCAAACTCTAGTCCTCCTTCTTTGGAACAAGGTCTGGGGCTCCAGTTCGCCCCTTCTCTGTGGAAGCTGTTGCACTAGGAGGAGGGGAGTGCATTCTCTGGAGACAAGTTGCTAGTGGTTGACTCTTCCCCTTCCTCTGAGCTGTATGCCGTCGGGTCAGGTTTTTAACATCGCTGCACCTCGCTTCATCTGTCAATCTGGCATAACCAAAGCACTTGGTAGTGTTTTTATTTTTATTTTTTTTAAGATTTATTTATTTATGCATACAAGAGCTGGGGTGTAGGCCAGAAGTGTGGAGTGAGAGGATTCACCAGAGACAGAGTGGGGAACAGAACAGGCAGATTGACTGAAATACTCTGCTGAGGGAAGCAGCGGGCGAGTCAGGAGAGGTCTGCGGCGCCATGTGGATCAGTTCCCTGGCTGGGGATCAAACTCATGTTGCAGTGGGTGCTGACAGCTTCATAGTGCTGAGACTTAACCCCTTGCACCACCAGGGAGGCCCTGACTTGATGGTGTTTTTGTGAGCTCATGTATATAAATAAGTGAAGATGATACCTGGGTAATAGAAACTACTCAGTACCTTAACTGTAATCGTTACTATTCACTCAGTAGCAAATACTTATTGAAAGCACAGACTTGTACATCATCAGGACATAGATCTGTGCCCTTGAAGACTCCTAGTAAACCCACAAAATGGGGGGCCCTTGCCCCATATTAACTGAGAAAATGCTTGGAGGTCTCTTCCTCGACACCAGCCCTGTGCTTGGAGTGTAGGATCAGAATTAAAGAGGACCTGATTTCTGCCTCTAGGGGACACTTGTGACCAGAAATGGATGAAGCAGAGAGGCTGGACTTCAGTGGTTTCCAGCTTGGGCCCTGAGTCAGGTGCCCATGGGTTTCATCAGCTGTGACTTGCTCGCTCTGGCCATGAGTGGATAGCTGTTCCTCTCAACGCCCAGTCTTCTCTGTAGCTTGGGGCTCAAATTAATATTTACCTTGTGGGCTTCCCTAGTGGCGCATGGGGTTAAGCACTGCACTATGAAGCAGTCCACAGCCTCTGTAGCGCGAGTTTGATCCCCGGCCGGCCAGGGAGCAACCCACATGGCACAGCAGACCTCTCCTGTCTCGCCCGTTGCTCCCCTCAGCAGTGTGTTTCAGTCAGTCTGCCTGTTCTGCTCCCGACTCTGGTGAATCCTCTCACCGCCCCCCCCCCGCCCCCCACATCTCTGGCCTGTACCTCAGCTCTTTATGAATAAATAAATAAATTAAAAAAAAAAATACTTACCTTGTGAGGAGTAAATAAAGTGTTTCTTGCAAAGCACTTAGCACAGTACCTGATGGGTGTTAAACATCATATAAAATGGTGGCTTTTGCTGAGAATGATGAGGGGAGGACCTAGCAGGCACTTGTGAGGGGCACAGTGGGACCTGGGCCCAGAAGCCGGGGCAGTAGGGATGGAGAGCAGGGACTCAGGTTGAGAACTTTTCAAGAAGCAGAATGATGGGAGTTAGTGACTAAATAGTTATGGGGGCAGCAGGATGACTCAACTGTGTTTCTGGTCCGCGGGCTCTGCTGGGCCACAGTGCTGTTCTCCGAGCTCAGAGAGGCTGGAGGAGGATCAGTTTCAGAGGGAAGCGAAGCACTCAGATTGGCTGCGTGATGTCTGAAAGGCATGGAGACCGGCCTGGATGAGCTTGCTGAAGAGCAGCTGTGTGGTCAGGTCGCATGCTCAAAAGAAAGGTACAAGTTTAGGAATTTTCAACCTAGAGGTACCAGCTTCAGGAGAGCGGGCCAAAAACAGAATGCCAATATTTGTGAGTTAGAGGAAGAGCTGCTAGAGACTTGGAGGAGACTGAGGGTAGAGGGGTGCTTAAAAGAGAGATTGGGGCCTCCCTGGTGGTGCAAGGAGTTAAGATGCAGCCTATGAAGCTATCCACAGCCACTGCACACAAGTTTGATCCCCAGCCAGGGAGCTACCCACATGGCACAGCAGACCTCTCCTGTCTCGCCCGCTGCTCCCCTCAGCAGTGTACTTCAGTCATTCCACCTATTCTGTTCCCCACTCTGTATCTGGTGAATCTGCTCACCTCCTGCACCTCTGGCCTGTACCCCAGTTCTTGTATGCATAAATAAATAAATCTTTAAAAAAAAGAGAGAGATTGGGGTAGGAGTGAATGGTGGATCATGCTGGATGTTGATGAAAGGTCACGGGAGAGCAAGGACCTGTAGTGGCAGTTAGATTTTGCTACAAGGATGCCTTGGTGTTCTTGGCTGTGCTACTGGGGAGGGTGTGCAAAACCAGGATGTCAGCTCCAAGGCAGGGAGCTGGTCTGTCGGCTGCTGTGTCCCTAGTTTCCGCCTGGCATGCAGTAGCACTGAAGAAATGTTTGTTGAATGAAGGAAAGTAAGGATATCTGAATGAGTGTGGGAAGATGTTGTGAGGGTGGAACTGGAGAGAAATTGTGGTGGGGGTGCAGGAAGGTGCAGGCTTTCCTGTCTGCTGGCTTCCATCTTCTCTTGGAACTGGGAGGTAAAGTGACTAACTGGGATTGAGGGGAGAGAGGTGGACGGAGGAGTAGTGAAGGAGTCACAGGGAAGAGGGTTAGCACTTTGGAGGACATAGCGGTTAGCACTTTGGAGGACATAGCAGAGGGCAGTAAGACACTGGAACACAGCGTCAGGGCCTATCAAGGCTAGGAGTAAGGCTTGGAGATGGACAGATGGGGGACAGTGGTGGCATCAGGGAGCCCAGAGAGCTGAGAGGGAAGAAGTAGCTTTGGTTGGAGCCCAGGAGGCTAGGAGCTCCTTGCAGGTAACAGTTGGGGTTGGCCCATCTCTGTGTGCCCAGACGACCCCTGCAAGTGGGACGTTTAAGACAAGAATTTTGTATTTTGGAGGTGGACTTAGTAGGGTGATGATTTGATTAGGGGTGACTGGAGTTAGGAGAGAGTAAATGGGTTAGTGAACTTGAACATCATGCCCTGGGTGATGGCAGCCTGGCCTTAAGAGTTATTCCCGCCTCTTCCTGTAGTCATTTCCCAGCTTAGACGGAAACATAGACATGTCTACCACTCCGTTCCCCTCCCCAGAAGCCCCAACAGTCATAGTAAACTGCTGGGCAGGGCCGGCACCCCCATGATGGCACTAAACACAAGCCTCTGAAGTAAGTGCTGTCTTTACCCCATTTTGTGGTGTGGAATATGGAAGCCCAGAGAGGACCAGTGACGTGCTGAGGTTACTCATAGCATGAAGGTGGCAGAGCTTTGTCTGAGATCTTCACAGCTCACCCTCCTCTCTCTGGGCCTCCACAGTCCAGCCTCCCTGACATGGCACCCCTACCCTCTGCTGCTGCCACTTCCTGCTCAAAGTTCAGCTCTTGATCCGGAACAGCTTGGTTTAAACCTGCCTCTGCTACCATTTAATAGCTGTGGCTCCTTGAATAAGTTTCTTAACTTCTCTGGGCCTCATTTCCCTTAAGTTTAAAACCGAGATAATGATAACAGTATTTACCTCCTGGGCTACTGTGAGGCTAAATACTTAATACATTTACCAGTACCTGGCACATGGAAAACCTTCGATAAACAGTACTTTTTAGTGCTGTTGTATTTATCATCCTCTCATGACAATGATGTGCCGAAATGTCCTTTGTTTCTGCTGCCTAAGTTCCCAGAGCTCTCTGATTTTCCTCTGTCCTAGGCCTGGATATTGGTTCCTCCCCATCTGGAACATATACCTTCTTTCTCCCGTTCCCTTGCTGGAATAACTAAGATCTTCCTTAAAAGTCTCAGATCAGGCATTGTCTCCCTGAGAGGCTCCCCTATCCCAGTCTTCTCATAGGTAGTTATGTCCCTCTTTGCCTCAGTTACTGTGGACTGTGTTGTCCCTGTGCCCCATGGAGCCTGGACCCTTAGCATCAGAAGGGTGCTTAGTAACCGTTGGCTGCCATGCTGGGGTTTAAACCCAGTATCATAGACACACAAGGACAAAGGGACCAATTAGCTCCAGCCAAGAAAAGTCCTGGGAGACTTCCGGGAAGAGGAGTCACTGGAGTTGAGCTTTCAAAACTTGAGTTGGTTAATACCAGACAGCATTGTATGTCCATGGGCAGGCAGGTGGAGTGTGATACAAAAACATAATTGGGGGCCCCTGTGTGCCCCCAAGGAGAAGGGTTTCCTTCTAGCCATGGAAGATCCAGGAGGGCTTCAAGATGGGGGTGGCAACTAGTACTCAAGACTGGATCAGAGTGAACAGAGAGATTCTGGACGGAGCAGTATTTCACTGAATGGAAATAGAAAGGGGCAGGACTTGGGGCAGAAGCTAGGTTGAGTGTATTTTTTTTTTTTAATCCCTCTTTTTAGAACTGGAGAGATCTGCAAATGTTTATTGGTTGATTGGACAGAATCAGGAGAGGGAGAGCCTGGAATGTCAGAAGAGGGAGAAATGGTGGTGATGGCAGGCAGGTAGAAAGAACAGGGGTGAAGTTGTTTGGATTTAAGTACCTGTGACTCAGCAGTCCCTAAAATGTCGCACAGGGCCTCTGAGGTATGCCTGGCAGCTTTAACTGACTTCATCCTTCTGTTTTCAAGACAGTCTCTCCACTGAGTGCTATTGTATCTTTTTTTTTTTTTTTTCCCTTAAAGATTTATTTATTTATGCGGAAGAATTGGGGTGTAAGCCAGAGGTGGCGAGAGGATTCACTAGAGACAGAACACTTAATTTGTGTTCCTGTTTAACAAAAGTCATTTTAGGAGGTAGCCTAAAGTTACAGTAACCCCTGTCTGGATGGACTGTCAAAAGCAGTAGGAAGGTTGTGGGGCCCCAGAGGTCGTTCTCTTACTTTCCTCCCATGCCCCATTTTGAAGGAGCCCTCGGCCTGAGAAGTGATTCCGAAACTCCAGGCATTTGCCACCCACTTACTGCAAGACATGAATTTGCCTTTAAATTTATCCTCTCTTTGCACTTAAAATCAGTTTGGTTTCACGTAAATGTTAACCTTAGAAATAAATATAAACAAACCAACCAGAATATTAACTCTTAGCCAGGTGTTGTCAATACCTGGGGCCTGCTGGGCCTCTCGAAAACACATGATCAAGTCAGTGAACGAACAACTGCGTGAAGTCTGTTGTGGACTCTCGGTGGGAGCGTCAGGAAGCTGGCAACGGCCTGGTGGCTGTCACTTACTCGGATGTGCACAGAAGGTCTGGCATGCATCTAGCATGGTGCTGGGTCCTGGGGATCTGCCCTGGTGGAGCCTACATTCTAGTAAGGATATAATAATCAACAAGAGCAAATAGCAGGGCTAGAGGTCAAACACCTTGGACAGTTGGCCATCAAGATGGTGCAGATGTGGATCAAGGATGGGGATTAATAGAGAAACTGAAAATTGCCCATGAGGGGCCTCCCTGGTGGCGCAAGGGGTTGTGAAGCTATCTGCAGCCTCTGCAGCACGAGTTCAATCACCAGCTGGCCAGGGAGCTAACCCACATGGCACAGCAGACCTCTCCTGTCTCGTCCTCTGCTCCCCTCAGCAGTGTATTTCAGTGGATCTGCCTGTTCTGCTCCTCACTCTGTCTCTGGTGAATCCTCTCATCCCCATACCTCTGTCCTGCCCCCAGTTCTTGCATGTATAAATAAATAAATCTTTTAAAAAAATAAAATTGCCCATGAACCACCATACCTTAGCCGAGGATAACTTGAAAAGCCCAAGGTTGGGGATGAGGGCTGCTGACAGATCCCTTTGGTGTTAACATCAAATGCAGTGTGTAGGGTGTTTATGTGTCTTTGGCAAAATTCCTTATAAGCTATAAGTCCCACAAACTAATGACCTCATTTGATCTTACAGCAGCTCATTATCTTCATTTTATAACTGAGGCCTCTTGAGGCTTGGTGGGAGGAATGGACTTGCCCAGGGTCTTGCAACCAGTTAGTGATGAATTGACCCCCAAACCCAGTGCTCTTGGTCTGGGCCAGTAATATCCTGTCACATACACACTCGAACCCTGTCTGGGAGCAAGGTAATGCTGGGAGGAACGCTAGAGTGTGGGGCGGATTGTGGGCTCCTTGAGAGTTGAGGACTGAGGTCTCTGTCCCCTCCTTGTGGCTGGCAGGTGCTATGACAAGCGTCTGTGGCCTAGAATGGACCTGAGCCGGCGGAAGTCACTGACCCCGCCTATGCTCAGCGGTGTGGTTCGTCGCCAACCCCGGGCCCTAGACCTCAGCTGGACAGGTGTCTCCAAGAAGCAGCTCATGTGGCTTCTGAACAGACTGCAAGGTAGGGAGGGGTGAGGCGGCAGGGACAGGGTGAAGATGGGGACAGACTTCGGACAGGAGTCCTCCTAGAACCAGCTTTCTGACCCCTCCCCCACCCCAGGCCTGCAGGAGCTGGTGCTCTCCGGCTGCTCCTGGCTCTCTGTCTCTGCCCTGGGCTCAGCCCCACTGCCGGCCCTGCGGCTCCTGGACCTCCGCTGGATCGAGGATGTTAAAGACTCCCAGCTCCGTGAGCTGCTGCTGCCTCCGCCAGACACCAAACCAGGTGTGGCCTCTTTTGGCTCATTTGCCAAATGGGTTGGGCAAGGTGGGGGCGTGAAGCTTCCAGCGACTCTTCTGACTCATGTTGAGTGCTAAAGGGTTTGAAGAAAGGGCAGAACACATAAGTGTGAACAGGAAGGCCCTGCTTGGCCATTGTTCATTTAGTCACTTACTGCTGTGCGCTGGGCCCGGTGATCAGAACTGAGGGCACAGGGACGGATAGGTAGCCCCTGCCATCCAAGGGAGAGATCCTTAATGTGGTGAAACACGACCTAGGACAGGAGGATGATGGGAATTCTGGGAGAAGCCAAGGGCTATGAGGAAATCATGGGGTGGTGGCATGATTGGAGAGCCTTCTCCAAACGGAACAGTGGCGATTGCCGTGAAATGCAGGCCCACTGTGGCCATTGTAACTAGCCCTTCTGGGGCTGCAGAAGCTTCTCTAGTTTGAGAGCTGCTGACCTAGAGACAGGCAGTCACTTAGCTAGTGCCTGGCCACAGTCAGAGTTCAGTTAATGACTTGGTACACCTTAGCACTTAGTTAAGGAAAAAAAAATATGCAGGAATGTGGTAGATGCAAATAAAAGAAGAATATACCATGAGTGTATTGATGAAGGGCACGAGCTCTTCTACCCCAGAGGTAAGGGAAAAGGAATCCTCTGTACTCAGACCTCAAGGCCAAGACCAGGCAGAGAATTAAGCATTGGTGAGACAAAATTAAGCATGGCAGTCACTCAGGGCAAACACTCACTTGTTTCGTCAGTGTTTTCGAGGAAGGGTGAAGAGTTAGAAGCAGAAACAGGGATGAGACCTTATAGAAACCAGAAATGTTCAGTCGAGATTCGACTTTTTTGAGGTGTCCTTAGGAGTTTTTAGTAGCAAAGGGATGTCCCATTTGAGAATAGCTCTTGTTGGACAGCAGAAGGAAGTGGTGAGAGGGGGGTGAGTGAGGGTATTAAGGTAAGTTCAGGCAGCAGTGGGAAAAGGATCCGGGTGGTGACGGTCCCAGCCAAGGAGTGGGATGTGGGGGAGAAGCCTAGAACGGCAGTCCCTGTAGGGATGCCATTTGTTGGGTGAATGATTGTTGAACTCCTGTGTCCCAATTGCTGGTGATAGAGTAAGAACACTTCATTCTAGTAGAAGAGAAGAATATGTTAAATGGTGAGAAAAGAGGGGGAAAGTAATGCAGGAAGGAATAGAAGTGTGTGGGCTGTTACTTCAAGTGCAGTAATCAGGGAAGGCTTCACCGAGGAGGCAGGGTCCTCCTCAGTGGGGTGGGTCCAGTTGTGTGGGTGTGTGGAAGAACAAGGCACAAAGAAGGGGCAAGTTGAGGCCTCCCTTACAATGAGAGCAGGTTTAGGGGGCGGTGAGGAATATGAGTGTGAGGACTGGGCTGGTCTAGACGGGAGTGGCCAGGAGCACTAACTTCTTACCTGCCTGCCCAGGGCAAACGGAGAGCCGCGGGCGGCTGCAGGGGGTAGCAGAGCTGCGCCTGGCAGGCCTGGAGCTGACAGATGCCTCCCTGCGGCTCCTGCTGCGCCATGCACCTCAGCTGAGCGCTCTGGACCTGAGCCACTGCGCCCATGTCGGGGATCCCAGTGTCCACCTCCTCACAGCCCCCACCTCTCCACTGCGTGAGACCCTGGTACACCTCAATCTTGCTGGTAAGCATGGTCCCCGTCCATCCTGCTAGCCTGCAGTTTCCCCCCTGATCATTACCTACACCCTACTTGACCTTCCTGGTCTCAGCCACCACTGCTGCATCCCCAGGTTGCCACCGCCTCACGGACCACTGCCTCCCGCTGTTCCGCCGATGCCCACGCCTACGCCGCCTGGACCTGCGCTCCTGCCGTCAGCTCTCACCTGAAGCTTGTGCCCGACTGGCAGCCGCCGGGCCCCCTGGCCCCTTCCGCTGCCCAGAGGAGAAGCTACTTCTCAAGGACAGCTAGTTGGGTGCCCCCCACCCTTCCCCAGGACTCATCAGGAGCCTGGACCTCGGGTCTTCATTTCACCCCTGCCAGGAGGCCAGGTTACCCACCTCATGACTTGGGATTTCTGAGTTTTATGACTTGGGATTTCCGCCCAGGGACTCGAGCCAGCCTCCCCCCTCTTTGCCCCCTGCACTGATATCTCTGGGGGTGTCTCCTTCCCATTTCCTCCCCCTTCTACCTGCTTCATTGTCCATCCCCTGGGGGGAGTGGGTCAGAGGTACTGGGGGGTGCTGAGCCAAAGGGATGGTGGGAGGGGGGTAAGGTGCAAGTTTGAGGGAGGGAGAATGGGGAAAGGGTATCTGCACACAGGATACTGGGAGCCAGGGGATTGGGGGAGGTAAAGGATGGGCTGGGGGAGGGGGCAGAAAGCAGAACACCAAGGGTTCAGGGAACAAAAGACCAGATTCTTGGAGTTGGGGGTGGGTGGGTTGGGGGGCCAAAAAGGGAAAAGAGAGGAGCAATTTGGGGATCCAGGTGTCAGAGGTAGGGGACTTGGGGAGCCAGGGGAATGCCAGGGCTGAGTGAAGGTGGGGGGCAAGAGCAGGTGTGGGGGCAGTAGTACCCCTCAGGGGGTCACCCCTTCTCCTTACTCCCTTCCCAGATTTCAGTTCCTTCCCCCCAACCCTGACTCCTTGAACGTCACTGACAATGGCAGCTAATGCTAGGAGTGGGGGCCGTGGGCCTACCTGCTGTTCAGAGCGGCCCAGGGGAGTGGTGAGGGGTACCCCAGCCCCCTACCTGCCTCCCTGCACAATACTTGAACATTCATCTGTACTGAAGTGTTACTTGAACCGGGGGAACCTCGGACCTGGGGGAGCTGGATTGTGAGGGGCCGGGACCAGCTTGAACTGAGACTGGACCAGTGGACACCCAGTTTGGACTGTGCCACCCCAGGCTCTGTGTTGCTTTACTGTATTGAGCAGCTGCACCCCTCCTGACTTGGGGGTGTGGGATGCCAGCCCAATGATGGGGAAGAGGGTACTCCTCCAGCTTGGCTCTTCCTACTCTTTCATCGTCATGGAAACTTGTATCCCATTTGCCCAGGGAACTGCCACTCCTGGTTGCCATGGAAATAGCAGCCAATGGACACCTCCCAAAGCCAGTGCTAAGGCTGGAGAAGGCCCCTCTTAGTTACCATGGGAACGTAGTAACAGACTCTTGGTCCTCCCCTGCCCTTCCTCCAGGGCGGAGGTGGGGTTTGGGGAGTCAGGGGGAGGAGTTGGGGCCAGGCCCCGCCCCTTAGCCCAGGGCTCCCAGGGGAGTCGGGTTGTACCATGTAGGGGAGGGGGGGATCTATCCACATACCTCAGGTAACAGGGAGGTGCGCGGGTGGGGGGAGGGACTGGGCGGACCAAAGGCCAGAGGGGAGGGGGTCTTGGGGATCGCGAGAGGGTTGAGGATGGGACCGCTTCGGGGAGGGGGAAGAGGCAGCCCGGCGGGGGACGAGTGGGGAACCCAGCCGGGCTGGGCCCCTGGGCCCCGGGTCTGTACAATACGGTTTGCTATAAAAGTCAAAATCTTCCAGCCGGGGCCGCCGAGTTCGTGTGTGTGTCTTCGGCGTGGGGGACTTGGGGGTAGGGCGGGGCTGACCAGAGTCTCAGCCCTTGTCGGGGAAGGGGGGATGCTGTTTGGATGAATGGGGCGGGGCGGCTAGGACCGCCTAGGCTTCCCCGGAATAGGGATGCAGCGCGTCCTTCCTCGAGCTCGCTGTCTAGGAGCAGTGATTGGGGAGTCTGAGCTGGGGATGTCCAGGTGTACGTGGGGTGGTCTCCGGCCCAGGGGCTCCCCGTCCAGGCCTGGCTGGGTGCCTGGATGAAATTCTAGAGGAACTGGGGTCGCGGGGTGTCCCCTGGGATTTCTGCCCACGGTCCCCCCGGCTCCACCCCGTCATGTGGCCGCCCGCGCCCCGCCTCCGCCCCAGTTCCTGTTTCGGCCTCCGCCGTCCCGCTCCTGCCCCTAGGGCTCCCGCAGACGCCGGCTCTTCCTGCTTGGCCCGGGCCGCCTCTTCCTGGGCGCCCGCCACCCGCATCCCCGCTCGCCCCGCGGGGAATGGGGCCTTTCTCCTGCCTGGGCCGGCCCTCCTGGGCCCCCTGGGCGACCCAGCCCCGCCGTGACTGCCCAGCCCGCCTGGTGCTCCGGACCACAGCATGAAGGGCGGCGAGGGGGACGCGGGCGAACAGGCCCCGCTGAACCCAGAGGCTGAGAGCCCCGCCGGCTCGGCCACGTACCGAGAGTTCGTGCACCGCGGCTACCTGGACCTCATGGGGGCCAGTCAGCACTCGTTGCGAGCCCTCAGCTGGCGCCGCCTCTACCTCAGCCGGGCCAAGCTCAAAGCCTCCAGCCGCACGTCTGCCCTGCTGTCGGGCTTCGCCATGGTGAGGGGAGGGGAGGGGCACGTGGGGGAAACGGGTCGTGGGCCAAGTTAATGGGTACCCAAGGCGGGCAGAGGAGAGGGAAGGAGGGAGGAAGGGAAACAAGGTCCCAAGGGGCTACAGGAGTCTTTATTGGGGGGGCGGGTAGATGGACACCTAGCATAAACGGGGTCATTGGATAACCAAGTCCCAAGGGTGTCATGGGGGATATAAATCGTAATGGGGGTGCAAACTAAGGGGGATACGTTTGCAAGGTCCAAGAGTGTAATCCAACATGAGTGAACCCAGGAGAGGATCAAACACGAATTAGCTTTTGTTGGGGGCTGTGTGGAAAGAGCTGAGGGGGGCTGGTTGTGGGAGGATCAACTGACGGATCTCCCAGCTGAAGATGGGCTCATGCCAAGGAGGTTGGCTAGTCCCAGCAGGCGCAAAGGGTGCTTTGAGAAAAAAGGATGCCCAGGAGGAAGTCGTGGGAAAGGAAGCTGATTAGGAAGTTGATTCCTGATTCCTGCGCTGATAAAGCTGTAGGTGTGGGAGGATGCTCTCAGCCAACCGTGGCAGCAGAAGCCTCACAGGAAGTGAGACTGAGGGAGGTCCCAGGTTGAGGAGTCAGTGAGGCCAGTCCTAGCCCCTCCCTGATTATGGCCAGTTGTGTGACCCTGGACAGACCCCTGCCCCTCACAGGGCAGTAGGAAATTATGAGATCACAGAGGGTGTGCCCCCTAGCTTGCCAAGTGCACCCCTCAGGATGAGTGGTGTTTTTTGTTATCAAACCCTAGATAGAAGCAGGTCAAAGCAAAACATCAGAAATGGCTCAGACTACTTGTTAATTGGACAGTGTGGGAACTGAGGTCCAGCATGAAGCAATGGCTCTGCCAAGAGCATTCAGCAGATGAAGGAAGGATATAGAACGAACTAGGACCCAGGGTGTGTCCTAGTTCATGGGGGATAGATAAATCAAGGATACTTCTGCAAGGTCCAAGGGGAGTGCAATCCAACAGAAGTGAACCCACGAGAGGGTCAAACACAAATCCGTGTTTGGTGGGGGCTGTATGAAAAGAGCTGGATTATTAGTCCAGGGTTTCTCCACCATTAGGACAGAAAGGAGAAAGCTGGTTGGAGGGGGATCCTCCTAGGCACATCTGTGTGGGGATGGAGCGGGTATCAAGATGGAGATAGAGGGGTTATAATACCAGGCTATCTGGGTTAGTCCCTACCCCTCTGTTCTACAACCTCTGTATAAGAATGATGAGGGGGAAGTATCACTAAGGGTCGTGCTGGGCCTGTGGTTTTACACATGGGGGCCTAGGACCTACAAGCTGCCCATCCTTTTGACATGGGCTTGTCTAGAGACAAGGAATTGGCTCCTTCTCAACTGTACAGACTGCAGAGGAAAAGGAGTAGCCTCATGCATGCATCTTGCTGAGGGAGGTCCCCCACCCCCTTCTGGCCCCATGGTCCAGCCTGTTCCCAAGGGGACAATCCGGCCTGCAGGTTGGACTTGCAGGTTGCTGGGGTGACAGCTTAAGGGCCAGGACCTTCTCTGCAGGATCAAGAGGCCAGACGAGTAGGTTGTGGGGGCAGGACTGGCCTCAGTCCTGCCATGGGAGTACAACGCTGGAGAAACCAGGACTAGGCCTGGCCCAGATCCTTGTCTGTGGAAAGCACCAGCTAACACCACTATGGCCCAATTTCCTAAAATACCCAGCCTTGGCTTCCTAATGCCACCCTCCAGGCTCTACACTTTCCTCCTTCCTCTAGCCCCAGAGCAATCTAATGGATCCTGCAAGAATCAGGTATGGGGAAAGATCCAGATTCTGGAATCAAGGTGGCCTGGGTTAGGGTAACATTATACAAATTGTACTGCTGTTACCCTATGAAGTAGGTACCACTATTGTGATCATTTTATAGATGAAACAACTAAGGATCAGAGAAGTTAAAACATTTGCTCATGTCTCACAGCAAGTCAATGGCAGGATTTGAACTTAGGCATTCCGGCTTTAAATCCAAATTTATACAAGCCTAGAATAGGATCATTAGCTCCAATGTTTATAAAGGTCAGACAGGTAATATAGATGCCAAGGTCACTGGGTGGAGACTGTGGCTATCAGGAGATCCTGAGACTAGTCCAAAGGAAATAGCCATAAACTCAACTCTAGCTGATAGTTGCTTGAGGTCCAGGAATATGGGCCTGGTGTAACCAGATAGTCCAATTTTTTTTTTAAGATTTATTTTATTTATGCATACAAGAGCTGGGGTGTAGGCCAGAGATGTAGGGAGGTGGTGGTGGTGAGAGGATTCACCAGAGACAGAGTGGGGAGCAGAACTGGCAGATCTATTGAAATACACTGCTGAGGGGAGCAGTGGGTGAGACAGGAGAGGTCTGCTGCACCATGTGGGTCAGCTCCCTGGCCGGGGATTGAACTCGTGCTTCAATAGCTGCCAACAGCTTCTAGTGCTGAGACTTAACCCTTGCGTCACCAGGGAGGCCCCAGGTACTCCAAATTTTTAAGAGGATCTAGAAATAGGGATTTTTAAAAAAAGATTTATTTATTTATGCATACAAGAGCTGGGGTGTAGGCCAGAGGTGCGGGGGAATGAGAGGATTCACCAGAGACAGAAGGGGGAGCAGAACAGGCAGATCCACCGAAATACACCGGTTGCGGGGAGCACCAAGGAAAGCAGGGGAGGTCTGCTGAGCCATGTGGGTCAGCTCCCTGGCCAGGGATCGAACTCGTGCTGCAGTGGCTGCCGATAGCTTCGTAGTGCTGAGACTTAACCCCTTGTACCAACAGGGAGGCTCAGAAATGATACTTACATGACTCTTCAGTTTTAAAAATTGGCAACTTGATTTGTTTAAAAATGCACTGTATGAGCCAAGCAAAACATGTCTGCAAGCTGGTTTAAGCGCATGAGATGCCAATCTGCAAACTCTGACCTCGGACTTCAGTGTTAACTCTAATCACATAAATACTTAGTGCTTACTGTGTGCCTTGCACTGTTCTTCCACTTGATATATATATATATATATATATATATATATATATATATCGTTTAATTTTCTTAACAACTCTATAAGGCAGGTAGGTGCTGTTATCAGTCCCATTTTCCAGATAAGAAAATGAGGCACAGAAAGAGCTAAGTCACTTGCTCGAGATTATGTAACTTGTACACTTGCGAATGAACCCAGCAGCCCTGTTTCAGTTTCTGGGCTCTAACTCCTATATTATAGCAAGGTAAGCATGTCAGAAATGTGCCATCCAGCTCTCTCAAGAGCCAGGCGGGGAAACCAGTCCCAGAACAGGACAGATCCTTGCCAAGCTACCCTTTCATTCATTCAACAAAGACTGGGTACCTTCTTCCTACCAGATACTGTTTCACATTGGGATGTATACTAACAAGCAAAAACCACCTTTACTGTTGAGTTTATGGGCACTTAATCTGTCCTTTTTGTCCCCACAGGTGGCCATGGTGGAGGTACAGCTGGAGAGCAACCATGAATACCCACCAGGTCTGCTGGTGGCCTTCAGTGCCTGCACCACAGTGCTAGTGGCTGTGCACCTGTTTGCCCTCATGGTCTCCACATGTCTGCTGCCCCACATTGAAGCTGTTAGCAACATCCACAACCTCAATTCTGTCCACCAGTCTCCACACCAGCGACTCCACCGCTACGTGGAGCTGGCCTGGGGCTTCTCCACTGCCTTGGGCACCTTCCTCTTCCTTGCTGAAGTTGTCCTAGTTGGCTGGGTCAAGTTTGTACCTATTGGGGCCCCGATGGGCACACCAGCCCCTATGGTACCTGCCTCCCAGGTATCTGGGACTCTGCCACCAGTTGCTGCCTCCCTTAGTCCAGCTTCCAAGCCATCCTCTGCTTCTGTAGCCCCATCACAGGGGCAGTCACCTGAGCCCTGCCCACCCCAGCAAGTATGTGGGGGTGGTGGGTCCCATGGACCAGGCTGGCAAGCAGCCATGGCCTCCACAGCTATCATGGTACCTGTGGGGCTAGTGTTTGTGGCCTTTGCCCTGCATTTCTACCGCTCCTTGGTGGCACACAAGACAGACCGCCACAAACAGGAGCTGGAGGAGCTGAGTCGCCTGCAGGGGGAGCTGCAGGCTGTGTGAGGCTGATGTTAGCCAGGGCTGCAAACACTGCCTCCCTGAGGGGTCTGCAAGAGGCCTCAGGTCTTATGGACCCTTTTCCCTGCCCCTGCCTGGAGCTACTTCCTGTGGCTACTCTCAGGTAGAGACCAGATTCCTGCCCCAGGGTATTTTGGGCTGGGCCTTGAGTCAGCTCTCACATTCCCAGGGATTCTCTGTCATTCCACCCCATGGGTCTTGTAAGTTCTACTTTATACCTGGCCTGGGAAGAGCAAGGGAAGAAGTGGAAGATTTAAGTCCAAGATTCATACAGTAGGTAGAGAGGAAGCAGGGAGACCCTGGCCAGACCTTTGGTGCTGACCCTTAGCCCTTGCTCAGTACAGGATGTTGAGGTCAGGTTACATGCCCACCCAGCTGCTCCAGAAGGCAGTCAACCCTTGCTTTACTTTTCGCAGAATCTATTTTATGGTTGGCATTTTTAAGAAACTTTTCCCCCTCCCCAGATTTTGATGGTTTCCACATTCTTGCTTTAGTTGCTGTAGAGGTTCTGGGCATTTCTACGCTAGGCATAGGTCCAGCCTTTCCTAAGAGTAGCCTATTTCAGGTGGTTCAAGTGCCTGTCCCACTGCCCTAGGCCCACACGTATGCATCTTTATCTGGTTCTCACACTCCTGGGCTCAGCAAAGGATTTGTTGATTGAGGGCCTATGTGCCCAGCCTGACTCCTTAACAAGGCTTGGGATGAAGTTTTAAGGGAGGTCTGGTCCCTAACCCTTCTGACTAGCTATTCTGACACTGAATTTTTGATGCAACTTTTTTATATAATAAAATGCATTTCATAGATATCCCTGTGGCTGTGAATGAGGTGAAGGAGGGATCTCCTTGGGATCAGGTGACGTTTTCCTAAGAGTCATGTTGAAACATGTATACCTGGGGGTGAGAGGGAAGTGGTTTCCAGGTTTGACCCTCTTCTGGTGCTGACAGGGCTGGTAGCTTCTGAATGTGGAGACAGTTATTTCAAGGCTAACAGCTTTTGCACTCTTGTTCCTGAGCCTAGGATCTCTATCAGTACTACAGTTTCTTGAGTAACTACTACATACTAGTTGTCTTATTATAGGTTACTTAACCCTCGTAACTACCACTAGGCAAGTCTTTTATCCCATTTCAGATAAGGAAGCTGAGGCCCAGGACTAAGGATCTTGCCCAAAACCACACAGTTAGTCAGTGAAATTTTGGGCTACCTTTACCATCACACAGGGAATCTTCTGTTGGATTTGAGAAAAGGAGTCATTATCTTTAAACTATGACAAGAGAAACAATTTGATCTTATCACCCATGCTTCCATATAGTTTTTTTTTTTTTTTTAAGATTTATGCATACAAGAGCTGGGGTACAGGCCACAGGTGTGGGGGGGGTGAAAGGATTCACCAGGGAGTGGGGAACAGAACAGGCAGATTGACTGAAATACACTGCTGAGGGGAGCAGTGGGCAAGACAGGAGAGGTCTGCTGTGCCATGTGGGTTCCTCCCTGGCCAGGGATTGAACTCGTGCTACAGTAACTGCGGATAGCTTCATAGGTTGTGTCTTAACCCCTTATGCCACCAGGGAGGCCCCTTATATAACTTAATTTTTTCCTCAAAAATTAAAAGAGTTCTGGGCCTCCCTGGTGGCGCAGCGGTTGAGCGCTGGGCTGAGAAGCTGCCCGCAGCCTCTGCAGCGCCAGTTTGATCCCCGGCCACCGGGTGAGGGTCCCACATGGCGCGCAGACCTCTCCTGCCGCCCGCTGTTCCCCTCAGCAGTGTACTTCATCAGTCTGCCTGCTCTGCTCTCCGCTCTGGCTCTGGTGAATTCTCTCACCCTCCCGCACTTCTGACTGTACCCAGTGCTTGTATAAATAAATAAATAAATCTTAAAAAAAATTTATAAAAAAAAAAATTAAAAGGGTTCCAATCCTTTTCTAAGTGAGAGATTTTGGCTAAGCTCCCCCCTTTCCTTTTTTTCTAGTACTTAAAAATGTGAATTTGCATGAGCCAGACCTCAAGGGCTTTTCCTATACTGTTCTGTGATTGCCAACAGTCCTGTGTGACAGGAATAAACAGACATTTTCTGATGAACAGTTTGACGCTCTGAGGTGAACGACTCGACCAAGGTCGTAGAGCAAGGGACTGACGTACAGCCGGGAACCCAGACATCCTCAGCTCAGCATCAGGGCCGCCTGGGTGACGAGGATGTCTGCGTCCCGGCCTGACCAGGTGCCAGAGTCCCAAGTGGAAGGCTCCGCTGCTGTTGCCCTCGAGCGGTGAACCCGCGGAAGCACAAGGGGTCCCCAGCTGAAAAGGGCGGGCATCGGGACCCTGATGCCCGGAGAATCGACCGGCCCACCGTAGTAGGCCCCAGCTTATTCTTTTTCACGGGATCCGTTCAAGGGCCTTTAGGTCACCAGGCTGATCAGAGAAACAGTCTCGGATTTAATCACGCACGATGGGTCGAGTACGGGCGCTACGCGACACCCGCTGCGGGCCTCAGTCTCCTCATCCGCCAAATGGGCGCCTCACGCAGCTAGAGGCCCGGGGAGATAACGGGAGGAACACGCACCCTGCGTTACGTGAGGCGCCAAACAGACTGAGTCACCGCTGCTAGTAGTATTTTTCCATCTCACGGTCGCCCCTCCCGGCCAGCCCGGGTTTCGGTGGGTCCTCCAGGAAGCGCCCCCGCGACGCCCGGCTCCGCGCGCGCTGACGACGTCTTGGCCCCGCCCACAGGGCTCGCAGATTCGCGAGGCCAGCTCCTCAGAATTACTCGCGCCCCACCATACTCGGCCGAAAATTCTCTTCCGACTGCAACAGGAGCTTTAAGCCGCAGCCACTTCCCGTGGGTCGGAATGGGGCAGGCCCCTCAGTTGTGCTAGGAAGACAGATCCAGGAAAAGTGGCTGACTCTGCCAACAGGGCTTGGCTAGCCAGACATTATTTTCTCGACTCCATCAAGACGGGTGAAGGGAAGCGACAGCTGAGGCTAGGACCGGTGGCGAATCTGCAGCTTCTCATAACTTCGGCCGTGCGAGGAAGGGGTAGGGAAGAGGAGCAAAGGAGCGCGCACCCAGTCTACATAGTCGCCCCGCCCGCCTGACGAATCTGCGCCCGTTCAACGCGCCACTCAAATCTCTCAAGCGCTGGCTGGCCTCCTCCCCTCCGCCCCGCCCCCTTTTCCTCGGGGACTAGTCGCTGCTTTCGTCGCCGCCGATTCGTCAAGGACCCAAAGCCAGAGCAGCTGGATAGTCGTGAAGTCCACTCTCCGGGGGATGCGGCCAATACCCAGGCTCCCTAGGCCACGACTCCTGAGCCTTATAGGGCGCCAGCCGAGGCGAAGCTGCTGTCCTTGGCCCCGTGGGTCTCTCGGCGGCGTCCGTGGCGAAAGTGCGAATGTGGACGCTGTGCCCGCTGGGCCTCACGCAGGTGGCGGTGGTGTTTGGTGCGCGCGCCGGGGAGGTGGTGGTGGGGGGCGCCGCCGCCGCCACCGCTGCGGGGCCGGGTCTCGCGCTGCCGCCGCCGCCGCCTCGCGCCGCTGAGGTGCTGCGCGAGGTGGGGGAGGGGGTGCCGCTCGCCGCGAGCGGGTGAGTGGGGCCGCGCCGCGCGTGCGCGAAGATGGGGGGGGCAGAACGCGCCGGGGCGGGAGGAGAGGGCAGCAGCGCGCGTTCTCCCCACCCCCCCGCTGGATTCGGGGCCGAAGCCGGGTCTCGGGCTCGGTCTCGCGGTGTTTCCAACGCCCCGAAGAGGTGCCACCTCTTGGCCAGAGGATCGGGGCACGGGGACGGGTGCGGGTGTGTGGGAGCGGGAGCCGGGCTTGGCCCGGGCCGCTGGCCGGTGAGGAGGCGGGAGGGGGCGGGGCCTGCCAGGGGGCGGGGGAGGGGTCTTGCGCCGAGGCCAAATGGGGCGCGCGCTGGGGAGAGCGGGAAGGTAAGGGGGCGCGAGATGGGCCTGGGGGCCTGAGGGGAGAGTTGGGAGGTGGAGAGAGAATGGGATGTTGTGGTGGAAGAGGATACTGAGGAGGGGGATCTAGGGAAGCCACGGGTCATGGTGAGGTGTGGAAACTGGGGTGATGAGAGAACCTGGAGTCTGGGCTAGTCAGTGAGGGGCAGCAAGGGAGTCAGGCCTAAGAGCTGAACCCCCGTGTGTGTTCTTCTTTCCTGACAGTGTAAATGAGCAAAGATGGATCAAGAAGGTGGGGGAGATGGGCAGAAGGCCCCGAGCTTCCAGTGGCGGAACTACAAGCTCATCGTGGATCCTGCCTTGGACCCTGCCCTGCGCAGGCCTTCTCAAAAGGTGTACCGCTATGATGGAATCCACTTCAGTGTCAACGTGAGTACCCCCAGCCTTTCTTTTGCCTTCTAGGAAACCTCAGGCACCACTTTCCTGTTAACTCTGTTCAGCACCTAAGAATTTTCATACTTGTAGCCTGCCTTCTTAAAAGTGGGCTACTAGACCTAGGTTTTTTGCATATGGATCTCCAAATGGACTTCTTTGGAATTAGTAATGTGGTCTCACCTTGAACTCTCTTTCCATTCCTGGTTTCCTTCCTAGGACTCAAAGTACCTACCGGTCGAAGACCTTCAAGATCCCCGTTGCCATGTCAGGTCCAAAAACAGAGACTTTTCCCTCCCAGTCCCTAAGTTTAAGGTATGTGTTTCCTCATGTGGTGGCCCTAGGAGGGTATGAAGTCCTGGTAGTCTAGTCATAGTGTAGCCAAGTAAAAGGGGATTTTCCAGTGAAAGAACCTCAGCTAGATCTAACAGCCTCTGAGGCTGTAAGACTGAGTTGTTTTGGACAGGAGGTATGTTACTCTTCTAGACAGGTACAGGTGAGGTGTCCCAAGCAGGGGTGTTGACTTGAAGGATGAAGTAAGGATAGGTGTAGCTCTTCTGTCTATCACTGCGTCCTTCCAGACAGTGTGTAACATGACAGTGTCTTTGTATGATATGCCAGCTTCTCAACAGTTACGGGGAGTGACAAGTCCAGACACTCCATCTGGGAGTCCACTGTTCTTTCCCTCACTTGGCTATTTGACCCTATATCTTGTTTCTTTAGATGGTGACTATTTCCTTGTCTGGGCAGGATACTTGTCAGGCCTTTGACTACACCTAGAAAGAACTGGTGGTTCTTACTCTTCTTTGCTAAATTTTTAGTCCTCCTTTTCAAATAAATTATTTGCAGTGTTCCCTCATTCCTCTTTCATTTTGTACACTTTCCCTGAACAATCTCTTTCACACCTGTGACTTCACATCTATGACCTTTCTCACACACCTATTTATCAAAATGTTGATATTCAAATCGCTGTTTCCAGCTAAGTGCAGTCTCTTGAGTAACAGATTCATATGTCTGGTAGAGGAACAGCTCAATCTAGAGACCTCACGGACATCTCAAACTCAAGGGATCTAAAACAAATACTCTTTACCCTTAATTGTCTTCTTTCCCTTTCCCCTTTGCTGATGAATGACAACACCATGTATTCAGTTATAAAAGCAAAAATCATGGCAGTCATCTTATGATTTTTTTTTTCTTCATCTGTCACATATTTATTGTGAAGTCCTGCTGATTTTTTTTAAACGTGTCTTTAAATTTTTCTGTTTCCGTTGGTACTACTTTAATGCAGACTTTATTTCACTCCACCATGCTGCCAGGTGTCTCTTTGGTTTTACTGTTGTCTTATTATACTTTTGTTGCCAAGTTCATGGTTCTGTGCATTGGCACATAAGGTTATTGATCTGGTGAAGCCTCATATCCTGTTTTGGTACTGCACACCAGTGTTCCATTCGATAATACTCTTGGCACTTTTGTGTCTGTCTGTGTTGTCTACTTTTCTGAACAAAAACTCCTTGCCTGTCCCTTTCCCCCCACCATGATTTTTTAAATCATTATATTCCTATAAATCATTATATTCCAGACTGTGGTGGTAACCACTTAATTAAAGCTAAGTTCATGAATTAATTTCCGACAACTGTTTTCTTCCATTTATGTTTATTCCTCAGTTTATACACTTCTTTTCCTGTTTTTTTACCTTTGTTCTGTGGTGAGACGAATTTAGAAAAGAGGTGTTAAGATAGATGTATTGCTTTTGGCAGCTCTGTATCCCATTGCCTTGCTGTTACTTCCCAGTCCAAACTTGATGTCATAATCTCACTGAAGTGTCCCAAAGGGCAAAGGAAACCGTGGACAGTGCTAAGACCCCAGACTTGACTCCTGTTCTCTCCACAGCTGGATGAATTCTATATCGGACAAATCCCATTGAAGGAAGTAACTTTTGCAAGACTGAATGACAATGTGCGAGAGACCTTCCTGAAGGATATGTGCCGGAAGTATGGTGAGGTGGAGGAGGTAGAGATCCTTCTTCACCCCCGTACTCGCAAGCACCTGGGCCTGGCCCGCGTGCTCTTCACCAGCACTCGGGGAGCCAAGGAAACCGTCAAAAACCTCCACCTTACCTCTGTCATGGGCAATATCATCCATGCCCAGCTTGACATCAAAGGTGAGGGCTCTTTTGCTTGCTGCCCTTGGTTGGATTCCAGCAGAATATACATGCCATTGTCTGTGGGGGCAAGTTAAATGATCATGATTGTTCATCTGAAACTCTTAGGACAACATGTTTCTCTGCAGCGAGAACTTTATGGAAGGACTATGGTACATATGTGATTTTTTTGTGTTACCTCTGGCAGGGCTAGGATATAACGATATTTGTTACAAGAGAACATATGAAGAGTTACTCTGGTATGATGAATAAAGACTAGTAAGTAGTCTTAGCTCAGGTTTGATTTTGATAGTGCATTCCCAAAATCACTGGGTTTTGAATTTTGGGGGCTTTGGAATTTGAGATTACAAATTAGGAACCTTTGGCCTCCCTGGTGGCACAGGGGTTAAAGTCTCAGCACTATCAAGTCTCAGTGCTGTCGCCAGCCACTGTGCCATGAGTTCTATCCTCAGCCAGGGAGCTGACCCACATGGTGCAACAGACCCCTCCTGTCCCACCCGCTGCTCCCCTCAGCAATGTATTTCAGTAGATTTGCCTGTTCTGTTCCCCACTCTGTCTCTGGTGAATCCTCTCAGCCCTCACACCTCTGGCTTACACCCTAGTTCTTTTATGCATAAATAAATAAAAATCTTTTTAAAAAATGAGGAACCTTTACAGGTGAGTGAGGTAGTCTGGGCTTCCGTATTAATGAGCAATAGTGAGGAGTGGGGACTATGGCACATCTTAAGGGAGGCAGCTGTTAGTTGGCATTAGCCAGTTAGCAATTAGAGCTATAAGCTAATATAGCTAAGTGTTCTGAGTTGTTTATAAGTCAGATCTTGGTTTTTGTATGAAATCTTATGATTGTTAATGTTGTATTCCCGCCAGTCTTTTTTTTTTTTTTAGAGATTTATTTATTTATGCATACAAGAACTGGGGTACAGGCCAGAGATGTGGGGGTGAGAGGATTCACCAGAGACAGAGTGGGGAACAGAACAGAAAGATCTACTGAGGTACACTGCTGAGGGGAGCAGTGGGCGAGTCAGGCGAGGTCTGCTGCACCATGTGGGTTGTTCCCTGCTGGCCAGGGTTTGAACTCTTGCTGCAGAGGCTGCAAATTGCTTCATAGTGCAGTGTTTAACCCCTTGTGCCACCAGGGAGGCCCTTTTTTTTTTTTTAAGATTGATTTATTTGTGCATACAAGAGCTGAGGTACAGGCCAGAGATGCGGAGGGTGAGAGGATCCACCAGAGGCAGAGTGGGGAACAGAACAGGCAGACTGACTGAAATACACTGCTGCAGGGAGCAGGGGGCAAGACAAGAGAGGTCTGCCTCACCGTGTGGGTTGTTCCCTGCTGGCCGGGGATCGAACTCGTGCTACAGAGGCTGTGGATTGCTTCATAGTGAGGTGCTTAACCCCTTCCGCCACCAGGGAGGCCCCTATTCCCTCCAGTTTTTTCAGCAATCGTATAAGGCAACTAAAACAACTGTGGACTAGATTTAACCTTCAGGTTAAAATGCCATTTGCAACCTTTAGTTTGTAGGATGAAGAGTATAGTGGAATATAGCATCAGATCACCTGGGTTTGAATTCCATTTCCACCATTGATCAACTTTATGACTTCGTGCAGGTCAATTTTCTTTAGGCCTTTAAAGTAGGGATAACTGATGCTTCTTCTGGTGGTCACGTGGGAACACACATAGAAGTGCTATTATAAACTGTTTAGTATTGTATGACACGTTTGTCATTTGTGGTAGTTATTAGGTAGAGATGAGGTAGAATTTCCCAAGACAGATAAGGTAGAACTGAAACCCCAAACCCAGGAATCCAAGAAATCACAGGAAACTCAAGATCTGAGAAAGAAATGGGAACACCAAGTCAGAGGGAGTTGTTTTGTTTATCTGACTCTGTTGGTACCCATTTTCCTCTCTCCAGGACAACAACGAATGAAGTACTATGAACTGATTGTCAATGGCTCCTACACCCCTCAGACAGTGCCCACGGGGGGCAAGGCCCTAAGTGAGAAGTTCCAGGGCTCCGGTGCAGCCACTGAGACGGTGAGAAGCTTGTGGTTGCCACTGCCTGGGCCATGTGGGCACAGTGCTTGGATGCTAGGAGCAGTTTTGAGGAGGTGCTGGGTTTTGTGTTCAGTGTAGCATGGTCCAAGAAAAAATGCTTAGATGCTCTTAAATGACAAGGAACTGGGATTCTTGTTTTAGGGAAGGGCAAGTTGTTAAATGGTACTTGATCTCTTTTTTCTTTCTCCCTGTTCCACATTCTCCCTCCAGACTGAATCCCGCCGCCGCTCTTCCTCTGACACAACTGCCTACCCAGCAAGCACTGCTGTGGTAGGCACTCCTGGCAATGGCACCCCCTGCTCCCAGGACACAAGCTTCTCCAGCAGCCGACAAGACACCCCATCTTCCTTTGGCCAGTTCACCCCTCAGTCCTCCCAAGGAACCCCCTACTCTCGGGGCAGCACCCCCTACTCTCAGGACTCTGCCTACTCCAGCAGGTGCAGAGTAAACACCCTCTGGTACACCCCAGGTTCTGGAAGCTGCCACTGGGAAGAAGAAACCCAGAGTTTCTCTTAAGAGGGAGTTGGGAAAAATTTGTCCTAGTTTCTTTGTGGATTCGGCCAGCAAACCCCTGTCCTCGGGGAATTCATTTTCTAGCTGGGAACCCAAGAACATTTAGATCTTCCTTTGGGGGCAGCCTAGTGGGACTTTGGTTACTGAAAGCTGAACCCGGCTAACTCCTGCGCTTTTTCTCTAGCACCACTTCAACCTCCTTCAAGCCCCGGCGGTCAGAGAACAGCTTCCAAGATTCCTTTTCCCGCCGCCACTTCTCTGCATCTTCGGCTCCCACGACCACCTCTACAGCCATCTCTGCCACCACTGCAGCCACCGCCTCGTCCTCCTCCGCCTCTTCCTCTTTGTCCTCGTCCTCCTCATCCTCCTCCTCTTCCTCATCCTCTCATTTTCGTGGTTCTGACTCAAACTACCCAGCATATTATGAAAGCTGGAACCGCTACCAACGCCACGCTTCCTACCCACCGCGCCGGCCAACCAGAGAGGAGCCCCCCGGGGCTCCTTTTGCTGAAAATACAGCTGAGCGCTTCCCGCCTTCCTACACCTCCTACTTGCCCCCTGAGCCGAGCAGGCCCTCTGACCAGGACTACCGGCCTCCTGCCTCAGAGGCTCCACCCCCAGAGCCTCCTGAACCTGGTGGAGGCGGGAGTGGTGGGGGACCCAGCCCAGAGAGAGAAGAATCTCGGACCTCCCCCCGCCCAGCCTCACCTGCACGGTCCGGCTCCCCAGCCCCAGAGACCACCAACGAGAGTGTGCCCTTCGCACAACACAGCAGCCTGGATTCCCGCATTGAGATGTTACTGAAGGAGCAACGCTCCAAGTTTTCTTTCCTGGCTTCTGACACAGAGGAAGAGGAAGAGAACAGCAGTGCAGGCCCTGGGACTAGAGACACAGGGAGCGAGGTGCCTTCTGGGTCAGGTCATGGCCCTTGCACGCCCCCTCCAGCCCCAGCTAACTTTGAGGATGTGGCACCTACAGGGAGTGGGGAGCCTGGGGCGACCAGGGAGTCTCCTAAGGCCAACGGACAGAACCAGGTGAGGTTGGGGTCAACCAGCAGAGGAACCTGGGATAAGGAGGCAGGGTTGAACCTGAGGGGCGGGGGGATGGCAACTAGATAAAGAGCATGGATTTGAGAATAATCCCAGGAAACAGCCAGAAGCCCTCTGACCTTCCTCTGCACTCCTACAGGCTTCTCCATGCTCTTCTGGAGAGGATATGGAGATCTCCGATGATGACAGGGGCGGCTCACCCCCTCCGGCCCCAACACCCCCCAGCAGCCTCCACCACCACCCCCTCCACCCCCTCCTCCTCCTCCCTACCTTGCTTCCCTTCCCCTCGGGTATCCTCCCCACCAACCTGCCTACCTCCTCCCACCCCGACCTGATGGGCCACCACCCCCTGAGTACCCCCCACCTCCTCCACCACCACCCCACATCTATGACTTTGTGAACTCCTTAGAGCTCATGGATCGACTTGGGGCTCAGTGGGGTGGGATGCCCATGTCCTTCCAGATGCAGACCCAGATGTTAACTCGGCTCCACCAGCTGCGGCAGGGCAAGGGATTGACTGCTGCGTCAGCTGGTCCCCCTGGTGGGGCCTTCGGGGAGGCCTTTCTCCCATTTCCACCCCCTCAAGAGGCAGCCTATGGGTTACCTTATGCTCTGTACACACAAGGCCAAGAAGGCCGAGGGGCATATTCCCGGGAAACCTACCATCTGCCTTTGCCCATGGCAGCCGAGCCCCTGCCCTCCTCCTCAGTCTCAGGAGAAGAGACCAGGCTGCCTCCCCGGGAGGAAGCAGAGCTGGCAGAGGGCAAAGCCCTCCCATCGGCAGGCACTGTGGGCCGTGTACTGGCCACCCTTGTCCAAGAGATGAAGAGCATTATGCAGCGAGACCTCAATCGCAAGATGGTAGAAAATGTGGCCTTTGGAGCTTTTGACCAGTGGTGGGAAAGCAAGGAAGAGAAGGCCAAGGTGAGTGCCCATGCCTGGTACTGGGAAACCTGGGGTGCCATTGGAGGAAACAGACTCTGACTTCTCTAGTCAACACAACTCAAATTAAGGAGAGAGGTGATCGGAACAAGTGGGGTGTGAGACTAAGCATTTGGTGGGATACACTATTTGGCAGGGGATTTTGGGATACATGGAACAGTAAAAAGCACAGGGCTCCGAATCAGGAGATCTTGGCCTAGACCGCACTGCTTATTTGCAGTGGATTAGGCCTCTAAGCTCTCTGGGCTTCAGTCTTCCAATTCTTTCTTTGTAGAGTGGGAATCGTAGTACCTGCTTCATAAAGTTGATGGACTAAATGAGCAGACTTTGAGAGCCTTAGTGGGGCTGGTACAAGGGAGGTGTGGTCTAGCTACGGCAAATGAGGAGTGAGTAGATGCATTTCTGTATTCTTGGGGCCTGGAGATAGTTCTCAGGCAGGAGGCAGGAGGGAGCACTGGGTTCTGGGACTCAGTCCCCCTACTGTCTTCCTGTAGCCATTCCAGAACGCAGCCAAACAGCAAGCCAAGGAAGAGGATAAAGAGAAGACAAAGCTCAAAGAACCAGGCCTGTTGTCCCTCGTAGATTGGGCCAAAAGCGGGGGTACCACCGGCATTGAGGCCTTTGCCTTTGGGTCTGGGCTGCGAGGTGCCCTGCGACTGCCTTCTTTCAAGGTACTCAGAATTGTGGCCTTACCTAATACAGTGGGGAGAAGGGGTATGGGCAGTTAGGAACCATGAGTGTCTGAGTTCTAAATGGGCCCGTTTCTTCATACCTCCCAGGTAAAGCGAAAAGAACCATCAGAAATTTCAGAGGCTAGTGAGGAGAAGAGGCCCCGGCCTTCCACTCCAGCAGAGGAAGATGAAGACGGTGAGTGGAGATCAGGTGTCGGGAGAAGGGCTGCTTAGATCTGATGAGAAAGCCAGAGGCGGGATTGAAGGAGTGAGAATCTTAGGGCATGGGCCCAAACTGAGATTCTGGTACTTGGTAGTTCTGAGAAATGTGAGAAGTGTCATGTCTGGTGTGGCTCATGTTCAGCTATGTTGTCATTTAGTTTGCTGCATTTCACCTTTCCACCTGTAAAACAGAAATGGTAATTTCAACATGTAGAAGCCTAGAATTTTGAGGTTAAACAAATCATCTACCCAAGTTTACCATCTGATGCTTAAGCTCTCCTACAACTTTCCCGCCAGTTTGTTTTAAGTCTAAGTTCTTGGTTGACACCTTACATGGCTTGACACTTCCTTGTTGAGTCAGATCTGCTGCCCTGGAGACCCTGTTATCCTTAGTGCTATTTTCTTTTTTTTTTTTTTTTTTTTTTTTTTTTTATTTTTTATTTTTTTATTTTTAATTTTCTAGAGGCATGTCTTATTTATTTATTATTTGTTTGTTTGTTTGGTTTATACATGCACTGGGTACAGTCAGAAGCGTGGGAGGGTGAGAGAATTCACCAGAGCCAGAGCGGGGAGCAAAGCAGGCAGAAGGACCGAGGTACACTGCTGAGGGGAGCAGCGGGCGGCAGGAGAGGTCTGCGCGCCATGTGGGACCCTCCTCCGGTGGCCGGGGAGCAGCCGGGGATCGAACCGGCTGCAGAGGCTGCAGGCAGCTTCGCAACCCAGCACTCAACCGCTGCGCCACCGGGGAGGCCCCTTAGTGCTATTTTCTTGGGCTAGACACAAATCACTACCCTCTTTCGCTCAACCCAGAGAAGGGTGCCATGTTTAAATCGATATGAAATATTAGGGAAATTCCGGGGTGTTTGTGTTTCTCTGCTGAAGTTCAGCTGCTTGTTATATAAAGAGGTCTATCCTGTGGGACTGTCAGCAAGATCAGCAATGGTGTACGTGAAGGTCCTTTCATGGGGTAAGGAAACGGTAACTGCTGTTGCTGGTGGTAAACTGCCCTAACTACCACTCACCTGGGCCTAGACCCTGAACGAGAGAAGGAGACTGGAGAGCCAGGACGGCCGGGGACCAAGCCTCCAAAGCGAGATGAAGAACGAGGGAAGACCCAGGGCAAGCACCGCAAGTCCTTTGCTCTAGACAGTGAGGGGGAGGAAGCTTCCCAGGAGTCATCCTCAGAGAAGGTGAGGGATAAGGGCACCCAATCCCTGCCAAAAGCCTACACCTGTCCCCATGGCCAACTTCTCTCTGGGCTATAATCCAGGTAACTGTGTTTTCCTGGAGGCCCAGTTGTCTTTTGCCTATTAGGCCCCATTTGTCCCTTTCCTTAAGGATGAAGAGGACGATGATGAAGATGAGGAAGATGAAGAGCGTGAGGAAGCCATGAATGCTACAAAAAAAGAGACAGCAGCATCAGATGGTAAGCACGGACGATAGAATCAAACCCTGCCCGGGGAGGAAGGAATGTAATCACCTGTCTAGTTCTTTCCTGAGCCCCCATAACCTTCCTGCTGGGTGTACTGAACACCTTTGGTGCCCCAGGAGCAGCTGTGTCTTTTAGCCACATCCTTTTGGACCTTGGTCCATTATAAACAATAACACCAGTACCCAGCATGCTCCTTCCTACTTATCTCCGCTCCTGAGACTTGGCTGTCCTCTGAAGACAACCAGCAGAGCTTTTTTATTTATTGATATAAGGGGTCTGCTGAACTTTGCTGCTGTTCCTCGATGCTACCAGACTGGACCTTTCTACCTTGAAGCACTGTCTTCCTTATGGCCCAGCCACTGAGCTGTGCCTCCATTTCCCCCGCCCTGCCGTCACCAGGCACAGCTCTGCTCTTCGGTTGAATACCTGTTTGTTCCTCCACGTTCATTGAGGTCCCGGGTACATGGTTCAGTCTTTTCATTTATATTCAGAGGTAGATATTGAGCCCCTGCTCTCTGGCAGGCACTGCTGTAAGTGTTGGGAAACACAGCAGTGAGCAAGACAGGTGTAGTTCCTGCTTTTGTGGAGTTTCTGACCAATTGGAGGAGAGAAGGAGACTTGACTAACAAGTACCAGCCCTTCAAATAGAGTTATGTGCTTTGAAGATGATAAACTAGGTTAATGGAATACAAAGTGGAAGGAGCTGGGGAAAAGATTGTTTTTTTTTTTTTTTTTTTTTTAAGATTTCATTATTTATGCACACAAGAGCCAGGGTACAGGCCAGAGGCGTGTGGGGGGTGAGAGGATTCACCAGAGACAGAGCGGGAAACAGAACAGGCAGACTGACTGAAATACACTGCTGAGGGGAGCAGTGGGCGAGACAGGAGAGGTCTGCCGCACCATATGGGTTGCTCCCTGGCTGGCTGGGGATCGAACTTGTGCTCCAGAGGCTGCGGGTTGCCTCACAGTGCTGTTCTCAACCCCCTGCGTCACCAGGAGGCCCCAAGATTGGCTTTTTTATATATGATGGTCAAGGAATGCCTCTGAGAGAAAAGACCTGGTGATCATCCAAAAGCCTCTCATTTTCATTTAAGCAGAGGGTAAGGTCATCTGCTTAAGAATGAGGGGCTGCAGACCCCTACACATCCACTTGATCACCAATTCCTGTTTTTTATCATCTGAATGTTTTTTTGAATTTGTCACCTCCTTTGTTCTTACTGTCCTGACTTTGTCACTCAGTTCTGTAGCAGGTGTAACTGACTTGCCTATCTCTTCCATCCTTTCCCCTCCATTCCAGTCTATTTTCCAGCCTGCTGTTAGAATGCACACCTGATTCTGTCACTTCCCTCCATAGTTTTCCTGGCCCCCTGTTTTCTGTGAGGTGATTCTCAGCTTGACACTTTAGACCATTTATAATTTAGCCCTTGCTTATCTGTTCAACTCTATCTAACCTTCTCTAGACCCCTCCCTAGCCACTGCCACCTTCTAATCTAATTTACCTAGTCAGGTTTTTCAGACAGCAAAATTCTTATATTTCCTAGAGCCCTTTGATGTATTACCATCTAGAAACATGGAGCATGTAATATTTCCTAAGCTTATTTTATCCTAGAAGCCTTTTTCAGAGTTGGTCACCCAGGCCATGTCTATAAAACCCACTTTGGGAAAACATTTAATCGAGCAGACTGCTGGCCACTCCCCCAGGGGTAGCATCTTCTCTCGCCTCTGACAGCCCACTTTGTCCCCATGTCTGTGTGGTGAGCTCCTGCTTGTCCTCCTTGACTTCGGCATCTCATCCTCCAAGCAGAAGCCAAGACTTCCCTTTGTGTTGCTCCCCTGGCCCTTTCTATTGAGGCTTATCGCACTGAACAAATAGGATGCCTCATCAGCGCCTCGAGGATAGGACTTCCCCGCACTTCAGAGTCTGAGATCTCTGTCGTAAAGTCAGTGCATGAACCCCCCAGCTTGACGAAGTGAAGGGTCTTCCCACCTCGCCTGATTGCCCCTTCTGGATTTCCAGGCGAGGATGAGGAAAGCGATTCGTCCTCCAAATGTTCTCTGTATGCCGACTCAGATGGTGAAAATGATAGCACGTCAGACTCCGAGAGCAGCAGCTCATCCAGCTCCTCATCTTCCTCCTCCTCATCGTCCTCATCCTCATCGTCATCTGAGTCCTCCTCTGAAGAAGAAGAGGAGCAGCCAGCAACCATACCCTCAGCATCACCGCCTCCCAGAGACACCCCTGCACCCCTGCCAGCACCCGTAGAGGAGCCCACGCCAGAGAAGGCTGCAGGCTCCCCAGTCATACCTCTCCCAGAACAGGAGAAGTCTCCAGCAAGACCTGTTGGTAGGTGGCACTGAGCCATTGATTTGATCTCTGTGTATATGTGTGTCTGTCTCTGTTAGGACAGAAGGGTCTGCAGTTACCATGTTCAAGTGTGTGGCTTTGTTGGAAACATACAAAGTTGTATAAAAACATTATGTCCTGTCATTCCTCCCTTGAAGAAAGTTATGACCTAACATGCTCAAGCTGGAAATATGTTCAAACCGTAAATGGTTTAGAGTACTAGACCAGGGTATTTACTAAAAGTGAAACAGAGCTGTCCCTTCACAAGTATGTTAAATAGACAATCCAAATTTAACAAATTCCTCCTAGTACTTTTCCTTAAACTTTTTTTCGTGTATGTAGGAAACTGGGGTGTAGGCCAGAGGTCCAGAGGGAAAGAGGATTCTCTAGAGGCAGAGTGGGGAGCAGAACAGGCAGATCTACTGAAATACACTGCTGAGGGGAGCAGCGGGCGAGACAGGAGAGGTCTACACCATATGTGTGTCAGCTCCCTGGCCGGGGATGGAAATCAGTCTGTAGCATTGATAGTGCTGAGACAACCCCTAGGCCACCAGGGAGGCCCTAAACTAGTTTTCTTAATGTACAGTGTATACTCGTAGGTAGATTAAGTGGGCGGGTAGAAAACATCTGTTCATGTTAATTGAGATAACAGTTACAACTATTAACATTAACTTAATTTTATCTTTTTTTTTTTGTGAATCTGTACCTTCAATTATTATTTAATAGCATACACATAATTTATCTTACTGAAAAACTATGTGTTTAGTCAGTAGACATGGAGTTATTGAGCACTTACGGGTGGTGTGAGGGACATGATGCCATGCACATCAGGCACTGCTCTTGCCCCCATGAAGCTTGTAGTCTCTTAGAGTCTGCTGAGTAATAACTACACAAAAAAATCTCTAATAGCTCCATGAAAGAAAAGAACAGGGTTGTCTGAGAACATGAGCACATCTGTGGAGAGTCTTCCCTAGAAAAGCATCATTGATCTGAGGTCACACAAAGTTGACGAGAGGGAGTGATTAGCATGTGCAAAGGCCCTCAGGCAGGCAGAGAATATAGCTTGGTAGAAGGCATAAAAGAAAGCTAATCTGTGGAAGTGGGAGAGGGACTAGACTAGCTGAAACTAGGGAGGTGAGCAAGGGCTCGGCCATGCACAGCAAGTAGGCCATGTTAGAAATTTGGTCTTTGTCTTGAAGGGGGTGGAATGTCATCAGAGGATTGATATCATACTTGAGTTTTGAAAAGATGCAGTACAGAGAAAACTTGAGAGAGGTGCCAGAGTTTATGCAGGGAAAGTAAGAAGCTGTTGCAGTAAGGCAAGCAATGGTGGTAACTTGGACTAGTTTGTCCCTATGATGAAATCAGTAGCTTAGTTTTCACTTATCCTTCTGAGATGGACATGGCCTTCCAGAGATCGCACTCTCTCTAGAACTTTATTGAGAATCCATGGTCTGAGATAGGCAGTGATCACATGAAGACCGCCTAGCACTGGTATACTCTGTTCTGGTCCAAACCCCATAAGAGAAGGAATTGAGGGACTCATCATACCTAAGATGCTTATCCTGAATTCTTCAGGTAGTAGAGGAACCTTGTGGGGTCACAGGTCAGAGGGCATCCATCCTTGTACTCTTACTTTCAGCAGGGTAGGAAGAAGTGGGAAAGTGGATTAGACTTGACAGCAACCCAGAAGACCTGCTAAGACTGGGGCTTAGGGGTGAAGAAGGCAGGTGGTTATGTAGGTTGAGAGTCCACAGGGCGAGGGAGTAGAAGGATGAGGACTTATGGGTGTGGAGAGTACTGTGAATGGAGAGGATCTGGTGAGGACCCCTGCAGTCTGAATGAGATAGAGAGAAGTGGATTTAGGAGGAGGGAGATAGGTTAGGGAGAGAAGGATGTAAATTGAAAGGTTGATTGGGGTGAACTGAAATATTGGGGTGAATTGTGCTATAAGACAGGGGCTCCAAGTATAAGGGTCTAAGGTAGAGCCATTCTAGGGGGTGATGAGGTAAGGGTGGGACTAGCGAAGGATACCTAAAGATGAGTAAAGGAGGTCACTGAAGATATGAGCAGGTATCTAGATAGGTAGAAGGGGTGGGAGAAGAGCAGATTAAGGCAGTTCTCTAGGTTTTTAGAGAATGATAGGGAAAGCTGAGTGAGCAGGAATACAGTTAAATAGAGGTCTCTGTGGCCTTATGGTAGGAGACTGAGAGAGGGCTTGTCTAGTGGAACCACAAGCTAGACCAGAACCAGGGACTTGATACCTTTGGGACTTGGCCTTTCTTTAGTCCTCCCTTCTGGATTGTTCTCTCCATTCTAATAGAGGATTTCTTTCCCTTCCCACCCCCAGACGCCACAGACAGACCCACTCCATTTTATATTCTTATTCTTGGGGAAGTTTCTGATAGAAATGGTGACTTCTGAGAGTTATATTGATTGGGCGGGTATGCCCAAAGTTGTTTCTCTAAATAAGAGGGGATGGCCAAGTTTTCTTCAGGACAAGGAGTGTGAAAAAGCTATGCCAGGACGGGAATTTGTTCTCAAGAGCAGGGCCTCCAGAGAGACAGTAGGCTGGGTTGGGGGATATGTCAGAGGAGGAAAGGAGAAGCGACAGGACTTGTAGTAGAAACCAGGTGAATACCCAGGGAGGGCCTTGCTACCCCAGGTGGTATCCAAACCCCAGAAGTCAGGCTGAGAGCCTCGCTGGGAGCGCCAGATTGCCAAAGGTCTGTTAAGGCAGTGGTGGATGCGTGTTGATCACTGCCGGCTTAGGCCGGGCCTGGTACTAGCTCCCCAGCAGTTCTCTGGGTGGTAGAACCAGGTGTGAAACCACTGAGTCCCAATGCAGGGTGTCTGGACAGTAGATAAGAGCATCAACTCAGGTCTGCCCTGGGATGCAAGGTGGGGTTAGTAATAGTATCCACCTCATGGAGTTGTGAGGATTAAATGAGTTAATATATGTGAAAAGCTTGAATTGACACAAGGTACTAGCTATGAATCTGCTACAACTAACCTGAAGACTGGCAATTGAGAACCACTTCGTAATTCTGAGATGTTACTAATGTCTGAGAAGGTGAGGAAGGCTTCACAAAGGAGGTGAGGTTGAGCTAAGTCTAAGAGCTACTTGTGTGCTGTCCCCATGGACAGGAGGAGAGCGGCATTCCCGTCAAGGGAACCTTGCAGGTGGAGGGCCAGGACTGGAATGTCAGGCCTGTTGATGTGGCTGACACCAAGGATGGAGGTTGTGTGATGGGCCATATGTGCAGGACTATCTTGTCCAGAGACAGGGCTATCTATGCATATCTTGAGTGGTGCTCAGGCCCCTCCACATTCAGCAGTAGGCTTGGGGGTCCTAGCAGAGAAAGGATGTGCTCCCTCGCCTGGGAGTTGCTTAGGGAAGACAGCACTGCCTGTTCAAAGACCATCTACCTCCCAGCCACCCGTCCACCCGTCATGCTTTGGGTCTCAGCTTCACCCTCTGCTATTTTAAGGGGAGACTACCCCTGCCCTCTTGGTTTAGTTCTGTTTTAGGGGGAGATGAAGAAGGTAAGTTTTATGAAGTATTTTAATACAAAGATGCAGCTTCTTATATTGTATCTTTTTTTAACCTCTAAACAGAGCTGAAATAATAGATACTTTCTTTCTTGCCTAATTGTATCCTCTTTATAAAATGCAACTGGCAAAAATTGTTTTGGTTTGTGTGCCTAGTTGCTGCATGTTGTTCTGTCACCACCAGTCGATAAAAAGGAGAGAGTCCAAGCGTTTGTTTCCTTAGAACCCTCCCAACCCCCTTGTTTCTGTTCAGCATAAGCTCTGTGAGGACTTCTTTGAAAGTGCTTAGTGTGTTTTTCCCCTGCCTGACAGAGTTGGTGCTCAGTAACTCAGGTGCGGGAATGAGCAGATCAAAATCCCCGCCCATCAAGGGAGCGCAGCGTGCCTAGGAGGATGTTGCAGTGTCAGAAACTGAGGCGAGGGTGCGGCAGCTAGAATGTGGGTTCCCGGTGAGGCTGGCCAGTTGCCTGCCCATACGGATCCTAATCTGCGGATGTCGGGCTGAGAAGTTGACTTTCTTCCCCTGTGTGCTTCTATCTCCAGCTTCCACAGAAGAACCACCTCCCAGTGTGCCCCAGCCTCCCCCAGAGCCACCGGCTGGACCCCCAGCCTCCACCCCCCGCCCTGACGAGCGTCCTTCCTCTCCTATTCCCCTCCTGCCACCACCCAAGAAACGCCGGAAAACTGTCTCCTTCTCTGCTATGGAGGAGGTGCCAGCCCCAGAGCCTCCCCCAGCCATCCCAACGCAGGTCAAGTCTCCTGGTCCGGTCTCCCGCAAAGTCCCCCGGGGTGTGGAGCGGACCATTCGCAACCTGCCCCTGGACCATGCATCTCTGGTCAAGAGCTGGCCGGAAGAGTTGTCCCGAGGAGGTCGCAGCCGGACTGGAGGCCGAGGCCGCTCCACCGAGGAGGAAGAGGCTGAGCCAACAACAGAAGTGGACCTGGCGGTGCTGGCTGACTTGGCCCTGACCCCAGCCCGGCGCGGGTTGACTGCCCTGCCTACTGGTGACGACTCGGAGACCACAGAGACGTCGGACGAGGCAGACCGCCCAGGTCCCCTACTCAGCCACATCCTCCTGGAACACAACTATGCCCTGGCCATCAAGCCCCCACCCTCCACGCCAGTCTCACGGCCCCTGGAGCCAGTTCCTGCCCCTGCAGCCCTCTTCAGCTCCCCAGCAGATGAAGTCCTGGAGGCCCCTGAAGTGGTGGTGGCTGAGGCAGAGGAGCCCAAACAGCAGCAGCAGCAACAAGAAGAGGGGGAGGAGGAGGAGGAGGAGGAGGAAGAGTCAGAGTCATCTGAGAGCAGCAGCAGCAGCAGCAGTGATGGGGAGGGGGCCACCCGGCGGCGCAGCCTCCGCTCCCACACCCGGCGCCGGCGGCCACCCCCTCCACCCCCACCCCCACCCCCCCCTACCTTCGAGCCCCGCAGTGAGTTTGAGCAAATGACCATCCTGTATGACATTTGGAACTCGGGCCTGGACTTGGAGGACATGAGCTACCTGCGGCTCACCTATGAGCGGCTGCTGCAGCAAACAAGTGGGGCTGACTGGCTTAATGACACCCACTGGGTCCATCACACCAATATCCTGAGCTACAAAGGCTGGCCACCTCAGTGTGGGAGACCGGCTCGGGGTGGGGCAAGCTTTACTGGGGTCACACCACCAGGCAGTGTTCTAGCGTCCGTGTTCATCTCCCTTCCTGTTCAGTTTTCTCTGCCACTTTCGGCCTGGGTATGTTCCCTCTCGCTACCAAGCCCCCTTTTCTCTGGGCCTCCTGCCTCTTTTCTCCCTGCCTGTTGTTCTGACAGAAGAGGTGGATTCAAAGGCTTATTTCTCCAACTTTCTGTCTTCCCCATGCTGAATGTGCTCAGGGCCTCCAGCTCAGATCAGTCACTGGGTGGGCCTGGGGTGGACAGCGGGGGGCCCCAGTGAGGAGCTCATTTTCTTCCTTAACACCCTGCACTCACCAACCTGAGCACTCCAAAGCGCAAGCGGCGGCCCCAGGACGGCCCCCGAGAGCACCAGACGGGCTCGGCCCGCAGCGAGGGCTATTACCCCATCAGCAAGAAGGAAAAGGACAGGTACCTGGATGTGTGCCCTGTGTCAGCCCGGCAGCTGGAAGGAACCGACACTCAGGTGAGGCCCTTCCCTGATACCTGGCTCACCGGTATTCTCTTGCCATTATTTGTCCTATCTGTTGACCTCTCCCTCGCCCTGCTTCTCCCAGGGGACTAACCGTGTGCTTTCGGAGCGCCGGTCTGAACAACGGCGGCTGCTGAGCGCCATTGGCACCTCAGCCATCATGGACAGCGACCTGCTAAAGCTCAACCAGCTCAAGGTGAGCAGGAGCTTGGGAAGGCTCAGTGGGAAAGCTGGACCTGGGGTTACTGCCCACGGCATCCATAGTCTCCTGGGGGTAGGAGTGAGTTGACAAGATGCCCCTCTCCTGCCCTGGAGGCCTTTGGGAAAGGCGAGGGACTGGGTTGTGGGAAGCAGCTGGCAGTAAGGTCTGTCTTCTGCCCTCCAGTTCCGGAAGAAGAAGCTCAGGTTCGGCCGGAGCCGAATCCACGAGTGGGGTCTGTTTGCCATGGAACCCATCGCAGCTGATGAGATGGTCATCGAATATGTGGGTCAGAACATCCGCCAGGTGAGGCTTGAGCCCCGGACTGGATGGCAGCCTGGGATGTGCACTTGAGAACCACCTGACCCTCTAGATAAAGCCCCGCCTTCCCCCTGCTCCTGAGACTAAGTCAGTAAAACCTGCCTCATTCTTTATCCCTTCGTTGAGCAGCTAGTAGTGGAGACGCGTGAACTAGAGCTTACTGATGCAGCAAGAAGTAAAGCTAATGATTATCTCTCCCTTTAAGGACTTTACAGTTTAAGAAGATTGTACAAGCACCTACCTATTAAAGGGGAGGCTGGGGAGGCAGGATGGAGGGAGCAGTGATGTTTCAGCTGAAGAGCTTTGCTAGGCTTGGGCAAGGGAAAGTGCGCCCCTGTTACAGGGCAGCATGTCCACAGGCCTGGAGGCAGGATCACCTTAGGTCGATGTGGCTAGTGGGGAAACTTGGGCAGGTGGCATCAACAAGAGGCTGGATGGAGTGCATACTCCGTGGAGCTTGGGAGCTGTGGCCATAAGTTTGAACCTGTGGTAAGGAGGAGGAAGAGGTGTTCAGCAGGAGAGCACTTTGGGCGACTCTGCAGTGTGACGAGAAAAGGCCGAGACCACTGTGGGTCTGTTGCAGAGAGCCCTTCGCGTGGGGGTGGTGGGAGAGGCCAGGGCTAGGTCACGGCACCCAGGGTAATACGGTCTATGAGCCCAGGAACGCCTTCGGGATCTTGCAGAGGCGCTGGCTCTGGAGAGCGAGGGCATGGGTGAGGCCATCTCTCAGGACGCAGCCGTTAGCGGCTAGCTAGGTAGGGCTGCCGGTGAAGCAGAGAGCGACGAGCAGATGTGTCGTCGAGATGCGTTCCAGTTTGGACATCTGAAATTTCAGCCCCCGGGGGGAACATCTAGGGGATGACGCCCCGCAGCTCCACTGAGGTGGATCTTGGCTGGACAGGGAAGTTTGGGAGGAGTCCCCCCACTTCCTTAGCTGGCAGTTGAAGCTCTGGAAGAGTGTGAGATCACCCAAGGAGAGTGCCGAGAGCGCACCGCCCTGTTTTCGGGGAAGTAAGAGTTGCTCCTCATGTAAGAGTGTCCCCTGACGTGGACAGCCTGTTTTGGAGACAGGGTCCTGGGAGAAGAGTGGAGTGGGGCTCTGGCATGGCTGCTGTCATCTGGCCACATAGCAGCCTGGGGCCTCCGTGTCTGCTGTGAGCCAGGCAGATACTCCAAGGGAGCTCATGGCAGCTTCTGCCCAGGGACCGGTGCAGACTCCTGGGGTGACTGAGTATGCCAGCCAGAGGGGTAGGGCTCCTGGAAGCAGCCTGAAAAGTCAGCTCCTTGGGTTCCTGGAGCCAAAGAAAGTATAGATCCAGGACAGGCTGATGCAGGCCCCCGGGAGACAGTGGGGAGACTACTGGACCCTTCGTCATGGGGGCTGGTGGAGTCGGGCCTGGTCCCGTAGGGAGCTGAGGGGACGGCTCCCTTACTACTGTCCTGTCCTCCCTCCCAGATGGTGGCTGACATGCGGGAGAAGCGCTATGTGCAGGAGGGCATCGGCAGCAGCTACCTGTTCCGGGTGGACCACGACACCATCATTGATGCTACCAAGTGTGGAAACCTGGCGCGGTTCATCAACCACTGCTGCACGGTGCGCGTGGGGCCTGCCCTGGGCGGGTGGGGTGCCGAGGGGGCGGCCACGGCTCACACTGCTCTCACCGCCTGCAGCCCAACTGCTATGCCAAGGTGATCACCATCGAGTCCCAGAAAAAGATCGTGATTTACTCCAAGCAGCCCATCGGCGTGGATGAGGAGATCACCTACGACTACAAGTTCCCGCTGGAGGACAACAAGATCCCGTGTCTGTGCGGCACCGAGAGCTGCCGTGGCTCCCTCAACTGAGGTGGGGCAGGACTGGTGCCCACACCCCTATTTATTCCCCTTGGTGCCCTGAGCTCCCAGCCTCCCAGCCTTAGTGGGCTTAGCAGGTCCCACATCCCCCCATCTCAGAATATGGGGTAGGGGGAGCCCCCAAGCCCTAGGAGGGAGCCTCAGTCCCTTGAGGCAACTTCTGCCCCCTCTGTCCCCTTCCCCACCCACCTCATTTTTTTCTTTGCGGAGAAGAAGCTGTAAATGTTTTGTAGCTGCCAGCAGCTGTTTCCTGTGGAAACCTGGGGTGCCGGCCTGTACAGATCCTGTTCTTGGGGGGGGCTGCACAGCCCCCTTGCTTTGTGTTAATGGGGACTTCCCCTTTGTGCCCTGCGTGCACCCCTCCCCAGTTTAGGGGTCTCTAGGGGCAGTGGCCATGTTCTCCCCCTGGGGGGGGCCCTGCGCCCCCAGTCCTAGGGACTCCGTGCCTGGAACCCTGCCTCATCTTCTGTTCCTGCCAGACCCTGTGGGTCACCCTCTCACCCTGGTGTCTGGAAGCTCCTGCTCACCCAGGCCAGGACGGCGGGGGACGGGCCCTTCCTGTTGGGCTGGATTGTACATATGTTAATAGTGCAAACCCAACGCCACATTTTTATAATTGTGATTAAACTTTATTGTACAAAAGTGCTTGGTCAGTATCTTTGGGGAAAAGCAGGGTGGGATGGGGGTTGAAGACAGAAGGTGGGGCAAGTGAAGTGGGGAAATGGGTGGCCTGAAGTTGGGGGTGGGTTGAGAGGGGCTCTTGGGCCAACCCAGACCTGCAGATTCAGCCGCCGTCACTCTGGGCTCCCTGATAGGCTGGACAGTTGTCCAGAAATTCCCCAAGGCCAGCCAGTGTGGGGCCAAGGTCAGGCCTCCCTTCCCTTCCCAGAACCACAGCTGCTGCTGGACTTCTGGCCTCCTGGGAAATCCAACAAGAGGGAAGGGCTGGAGTCATGCAGCGGGAGTGAGGTCACCCTGCCTGCTGCTCCGTCCGGCAGCCAGGAAACCCCTCAGCCCTCATTAACCAGCAGCTTCTGGCCTCCCCAGCCCCCTTTCCTGAGTTCTTTGCTGGACCCTGGTGCCAGTGGAGTGCAGAGTGGCCACCAGGGGGTGCCCTGTGGCAGGACTGGGGATGGAGGGTGGCTTCCGAGTTGGACTGCTCCGTTCCCAGGGATGGGCCAGGAGGGAGGAGCAAGCGGAAGGGCTGGCCTAGGCAACGACAGACAAAAGCCCCTCCTCCGGAGGCCAGTTTGGGTGTCACTGGGTGCCGGGCGCCCTGGACAGCGGCTGCAGGTAGGTAATTTGTCCCAGTTCTTTCCATCTGCCTCTACCACCCCAATTCCTTCTTCCCACCCTCCCTTTTTTGTTCCAGAACTTTCCCATCTACCTCAAATCCTGATTCAAGCCCTTAACCTTACCAGTAACTGGTTAGCAGGGTGAGAGGGGAGGAAGCCTGGCTGCTGCACCCACAACTGCAGCCACCAGGAACACCTCTGGCCTCTGGGTCACTGCTCCAGTCCAGTTGGCCAGAACCCCCTTCTAGGAGTAACAGGTGGGCCGCTGGTGCTGGGCAAGAGGCAGCAGGCCACCCGAGTGAGCCAGGATCTCTTCCCAGCCAAGCATGGCAGGCCCTGCAGAGGCCCAGAAGCTGGTATACCTGGTCACAGGCGGCTGTGGCTTTCTGGGGGAACATGTGGTGAGAATGCTGCTGCAGCAGGAACCTCAGCTCTGCGAACTGCGGGTCTTTGACCTGCACCTGAGTCCCTGGCTGGAAAAACTGAAGACAGGTGACCATGGGGGAAGGGAGTAGACGGCAGGGTGGGGACTTCTTGACTCTGGTGGAAAAGATGATGCCTGTTTCTGTTCTCCACATGGATGGGATGAATGAGTCAGATGGAGAACATGTGGCTCCTGAGGGTGTAGACAGAACCCAGGAGTTGGCTGATGATCCCAGCTCTGACTTGGCCTCTGGCTGCCCCCACCCTCTACCAGGGCCGGTGCAGGTGATTGCCATTCAGGGGGATGTGACCCAGGCCCATGAGGTGGCAGCGGCTGTGGCCGGAGCCCATGTGGTCATCCACACAGCCGGGCTGGTGGACGTGTTTGGGAGGGCCAGTCCTGAGACCATCCATGAGGTCAACGTGCAGGGTGAGGTGCTCCCCACTTTTCAAATAATGTACTTACATTGCCCTAGCTCATGACCAGATCTTGGTTGTTTACTCCCCAGCCCCACTTCAACCTTGACCTTTGTGACTCTCCTGTGCTATCCCCAGCCAGGTTGGCCCTGTGGCCATTCCTGCCCATTAACAGACCGCCCTCACCTACCTACCTGTTGTGTTTTTCCCTGGGCCTGGGAAAGAAAGCCACATGCCCTCCTCCACATTTGGGATGGGAGAGGAAAGAGAGAGAGGGGGGAAGCTTTAGCTTGCACACAACTATTTCCTCTCCCAGGCACGCAAAACGTGATAGAGGCTTGTGTGCAAAGTGGAACACGGTTCCTGGTCTACACAAGCAGCATGGAAGTTGTGGGGCCCAACACCAAAGGTCATCCCTTCTACAGGTGAGTTCAGGTCACCCCTCATTTTTTACAAAACAGATTTATGGGGGCCTCCCTGGTAGCACAGGGGTTAAAGACAGTGCTATCAAGTTATCGCCAGCCACTGTAGCATGAGTTTGATCCCAGCCAGCCAAGGAGCTGGCGCAGCAGACCTCTCCTGCCTCACCTGCTGCTCCCCTCTGCAGTGTATTTCAGTAGATCCACCTGATCTGTTCCCCACTCTGTCTCTGGTGAATCCTCTCACTCCCCGCACCTCTGGCCTACATCTCAGTTCCTGTATGCATAAATCTTTTAAAAAAATAATTTACGCATACAAGAAATGGGGTGTAGGCCAGAGATGTGGGGGATGAGAGGATTCACCAGAGACAGAGTAGGGAACAGATCAGACGGATCTACTGAAATACACTGCTGAGGGGAGCAGCGGGCGAGGCAGGGAAGGTCTGCGGCACCATGTGGGTCAGCTCCCTGGCCAGGGATCAAACCATGCTGCAGTGGCTGCCAATAGCTTCATAGAGCTGAGACTTAACCTCTTGTGCCACCAGGGAGGCCCCTTTCCCCCAGTATTTCAAGAGCCCTAACTTCCCTTCACTTTCAGAATTTTACTTCTCTCCCACTAGGGGCAATGAAGACACCCCATATGAAGTAGTACACAAACACCCCTATCCTTGCAGCAAGGCCCTAGCTGAGAAGCTGGTCCTGGAAGCCAATGGAAGGAAGGTGAGGCTAGAGAAAATGAGGTGGGAGGTGGAGGGCTGCCAGCCAGAGGCAGAGCTGGGGCTAACCCTGCTTCTCTGCATCCTCCCTGGGCCACTTCCCTGCCAGCTGGAAGCCATAGCAGGGGGTGGCCACTGGCTCCTAGGTCTTAGCAGTGCCTGCCTTTTGCCCCCAGGTCTGCGGGGGGCTGCCCCTGGTGACATGTGCCCTGCGTCCCACTGGTATCTACGGTGAAGGCCACCAGATCATGAGGGACTTCTACCACCAGGGCCTGCGCCTAGGTGGTCGGCTCTTCCGGGCCATCCCGGCCTCTGTGGAGCATGGCCGGGTCTATGTGGGTGAGGCTCGGGTAGCAGGTGGGAGGCCCGTTAGGGCAGGCCCCACGTGCTGTGGGGGGGAGGGGTGTGCCCTGGCTAGAAAAGCATGGTTCCTATGCCAGCCCGGCAGACTATGATTGTGTGCTTATTGCACAAGCCACAGAGGCAGCTGGATCCATGCAAGTTGGGAAGGCTGACATAAAAAAACATGTCCTGGGCTGAGGGGCTTGTGGTGAAGGGAGGAGCATCTCCCCAGGAGAGGCTTAGCATCTACACAGGACCAAAGGAAGGAACAGCATCCATACAGGCTGGCTGAGGTGCAGGTGGCTGCAGGGGGTGGGGTGGGGGTGTCAGAAGAGGACTTTACCATGCTGTAGTAGGCGGGCAGCATCTACTTGGGCCCAGAGGGACTGGCCCGGGGGGAGACTAGCACTTATGTGGTCTGAGGGGCCCTCAGGTGCATGTCCCCCTTCCCCACCACAGGCAACGTGGCCTGGATGCACGTGCTGGTGGCTAGGGAGCTGCAGCGGCGAGCGGCCGTGATAGGTGGCCAGGTGTACTTCTGCTATGACCAGTCCCCCTACCTGAGCTACGAGGACTTCAACATGGAGTTCCTGGGCCCCTGTGGAGTGCGGCTGGTGGGTGCCCACCCCCTGTTGCCCTACTTGGTGCTGCTGATCCTGGCATTCTTCAATGCCCTGCTGCAGTGGCTGCTGCGGCCGCTGCTGCTCTACGCCCCTCTGCTCAACCCCTACACACTGGCCATGGCGAACACCACCTTTACCGTCAGCACCAACAAGGCCCACCGCCACTTTGGCTATGAGCCCCTGTTCTCGTGGGAGGAGAGCCGGACCCGCACCATCCGCTGGGTGCAGGCCATGGAGTCAGCCAGCGCAGCACAACTGTCCAGGTCCTGAGTCCTTGAGCCAGGATGGGCGGGGAAGGTCGTATTCTAGAACTGGAGGCAGGGATCTGGGGCCGACTGACTGTCCTGGAGCTTTCCACTTTTTAAATCTTTAGCACTCAATCTGGGTCCTGATGCCTCAAAGGTCTAGGGCAGGGTTTTGAGGTGCAATGTCTTCACTCTCACCCCAGGCCTGATGACTGGCTGGGCGAGGGTCTGAATCCCCTGAGGGTCTCCTGCCCCCACTTCTGGTCTTTCAAAGAGGGGACAGAAGCTGCACAAGCCTCTTGCTGGCCTGCTGACTGCCAGGCATGATCACGCGCCTGGATTCCGAGCGAAGGTGCTTTGTGACCACTTCCAAGACCTTTGTCTCCTTTGGGGACGTCATCGTCCCATTATTTATAAACATCACCTTTAGACGTTTAATTCTCAATGAAAGCTAAGGAAATCCAGGTGTTTTCCTTTCTTTCCACCCCTCTATCCAAATTCTGTACCTACAGTATCATTGGCTCTTCGTCTGAGGACGTCCAGATAACACTGTACCTGACCATTCCCTGGAATAAAGCTCCTCATCCAAGACTGTGTCTGTCCAGTCCCGCCCGCACCAGCCATGTGTCTGTCTCCCTCTCCCCACGGCGCGCGTCCCGTGTGGGGACAGAAGGAACTGAGCACACTGCACGCCCGCTGTTGGATTGGTTGCTATTTCTCCCGTCCCATGGGGCCCGACCCGGCCCGGGGTAGGGTGGGGGGCTCTGGGGACAGGACATGCAGGGCTGGGGGTGGGGCAGAATTTTCCTGTTTTATCCATTTGCAACTTGGTCACCAATAGAGAGAAATGGGACTCTGAGGGCTAACAAGAGTGGATGGCCTGGCTCTGGGCCCCCAGCCAGGCCCCAGGAGTCCTGTCCCCTCCAGGGAGGAGAGGGAGAGAGCTCTAGAACCCAACGGAGAAACAGAAGGGGCAGGGGCTCATGTCAGCAAACACGGCTACATCACGTGACACGCCAGCGACACGGAAACACACGCCAACGCACACGGCTGCACAGTGGGCAGGGGGCTGGGGCGGGGGGGGGGCGGTGAGGAAGGGAGCCAGGAGCCACCCATCTTGTCCTCTGCAGGGCGGGCTGGGGCGGGCGGGGTGAATGCATAGAACACATCATGTACACACGCTCGAGGCGTGGCAAGAGCGTGCATCGACCCACAGGCACATGGGATGAACACGCAATGTGCTTCGTGAGAGGCGGGGCTCTGGAGAGAGGGGGAGGGGAAGCAGCAAGCCCTGGCCAGGCCCGGGACCACCCACAGGGCACACAGGGGCTGGATGGCTGTAGGTGCATGGAGGGCGGGCAGCACACACTTGTCCGAGAACATGCAAGAGACACCAGCCCCCAGACAAGACTCCAGGACGCATACAGACACGGCAGCCAACAAGCAAACACATCGTAGGATGTGGGACTTGTAGAAAGCTGGGCCCGGAGGGGTCCAATGAGGCCCAGAGAGACGGGCAGTTAAAGGCCTGATACCACTCAGGGAAGCAGTAGCATCGCTCCAGCCATGGCTCCACCCTTCTCCTTGGGGCCCCAGGCTGTGGGGATTCCGGAAACACCTGGCTGAAAGGGTGTCCTGGCTGGGTGGCAGGAAGGAAAAGGGGGGGTGGGGTGGGGTGGAGGAACTGGGGCCTGAAGTCCCCAAAGAAGCCTGAGATGGGAGCAGGAGGGCTGCAGTCAGACAAGGGGCAAACTTCCTGTCCTGCAAAAGGGCATTCTGGGAATGGACAGGCCGGCTCCCCTCCTCAGTACAGTCCCCCTAGGGGGGTTACACATATTGGCCACACACAGGCAGGACCCAAACAGCCAGGTAGGGAAGAGGCAGTCTGCTGAGCTGGGGTGGGGGTGGGGGAGGGTGTTGTGTTTCAGAAGGTCACGTCTGCATTCTCTCTTTCTCTCTCTCTCTCTCTCTCTCTCTCACACACACACACACATACACACAGAGAGAGAGGCACACATGCTGCACATGAATTGGGACTCTGGGACATGATCTGTGCGTGCACACACACACACACACGCTGGTCCTTCACCCTGTGCACGTGTGTCTAACCCCAGGGCAGGGCACGTTCTTGTACTTTGTAAAATCCTGTCTACGTGTGTTCCCTACGAAGGAGGCGGGGGCTTCTCACATCATCCTTTGCTCACATTCTTCCCACCTAGCACCAAAACCCACCTGTAAGCACCTACGCTGCCTACACAATGAGGAGCTGGTCCCTTCCTCACCCTCAGAAGCCCCGGCCTGTGTCCTAGCCTTGATCTTAGCCTGGGTCGGGGGCAGCTGTTGCCAACGTCATAGCTGAAGATGTGTCCAGGCCGGGACTCAGCCCACCCCCGTGGCCACTCCAGCACATTTGAAGTGAACAGCCACCCAAACCCAGGGCCCTGAAGCGGAACCAAGGGCATCACGTGGGACAGTGGGATAAACACCGGCCTCTCTCACTTCCAAGGTAAACGTGTGGAAGGAAGGAAAGCTCTCGTTGTCCATCCGCCTGGGGTGGCCCCTGACCCTGGCCGCATCCGCAATGTTTCCCACATGTAACGTCCCAGAAGGCTGTGTGCAAGAGTGTGCGTGTGTGCCCCGTGTGTGCCTCCTCCCCTGGGCCTGTGTGCACACCAAGTGCCCAGGCTTCAGGTGCAGCCCTAGCCTCTGGCAGAGACAGAGAAAGATAAGCGTGTGGGCATGTGTGCAGAGCAGGAAGCTCTGCTTGCACAATATTGGCGTTAGCAGTGTGGCCACACCACATGTTGGTCAGCAGCTGTGGGAAGAGAGGGAGGAGTAAATAAATCTGTATTAACAAACTCACATGGGGCACCATCCTTAAAGATAAAGACATGTACAGAGTACCCAGGGGCAGGAACCCTGCAGAAAGCCTCTATACGGGCACACACTCTCACACTCACACATCCATACTCCAGACAGTAGAGCAGTACAGGTTTCCGTGCCCACCCAGAACAGGTGTCCAGTGCATGATACGGAAGGTTCTGACTGAGAAGAGGGCCTACCACCAACCCTTCAGGCACATACTTGAGAGATGCGCGCACGCCACGTCACCTGCTGGGGGGACCGCACATGTACATGTAGGTCATGGTAGGTTATTCATATGTGTACACTTCCACTCACCTCGGTAGATGCCACAGGCTCACACCACACACACACACACACACACACACACACACACTCCCCCCACAACATACATACCAGCCCCAGGGCTGATTAAGCCAGGAGGAGGGTTTGCTCTACATCACACAGCGATGTCTGCCACGGCCTGTGTATCTGGCTACCGTAGGATGTCCGTGTAGACATCCACAGCAGACAGGGGAGGGGGGAGGGGGGAGGGGGAGGGAGTGTGGTTGCATTAGATTCAAGCACACAAAGACAAAACTCCATGTACACAAATTGTCTGCAGATCTGTGTGTGTGCACGCACACACACACACACACACACACCCCACCTGTTCACATGAGACAGAGCAGGGCTTGGGCTGCTGTGTTATGCCTGGTGACAGTCTACACAAAACCCCGGTGAAGGGGACGAAACTCAGAAGACACACAGACTCAAGGTGGGGGGTAAAAAGGTGACTTGGTACTTTCTACACACACACACACACACGCTGGGGTGTCCACACGTCTCGAGCATGTGCCGGCGGCATGCATGTTGGTGTGCATGTGTAATCACGCCTGCTGCTATCTACGTGCGTGGGCGGGGGTGGTCCATGGCTGGGTGAGGACAGGGACTCCAAGGTCTGATGGGGGTAGAGAGGGGGGCTGCCTGGGTCTGTCTTGGGGATGAGCCTGGAGCGGGGGATGGAGTGAAAAGGATGTGGGGGTATTGCTCCCAATGTGGTGGGGGAGGGGTCTGAGGGAGATAGGGGTGGGGGGCCTACAAGCCCAGCGTCCCCCCAATGGATGACGCCAAGACCACCCCCAGCACCACACAGCAAATGATGATCATGATTTTCTTCTGCAGGCAGGGAGGGTGGTGGGCAAGGAGGAGGAGACAGAGAAACAGAGAGAGACAGAGATTAAGACAGTGAGACGGACAGATGGGGGAGATGGAGGAGGAGGGTATGCGGAAAAAGAAAAGGGGAGAGAAAACAGAAAAAGCAAGAGGTCAGAGCCAGAGATTAGACCTCTCAGGAGACATCATCACTCACCTCGACCCTGGCCTGAGCCCAGCCCCGCCCGCTTGGCGCTGGCCCACCGGCCCCCACAGAACCCCCCTCGCTCACCCTCCGGGCCTTGCTCTGATATTTCACAGCTTTCTTGGTGTCCGACACAGCTCGTTCCACATAGTCCACGGAATGTTCCACGTTGTACTCAATGCGGTCGATCATCTCACCCTGCAGACGTGCAATGGGAGGGTTGGGGGCTGGGTGGGGAGAGGAGCCCGGGACCTGGGGGAGCGCCCCGAGTGGGGGGACAGTGGCAGTACCTGGCTCTCCACCAGCATGGCCATGTCCACAAACATGTCGTGCAGTTCACGGATGCTGGTTTCCAGTTTGATGATCTCATTGTGCCTCGTCTCAATCTCGTTCAGGGCCTGCTTCGTCATCTGTGAGTCCATTTTGATCTAGAGCAATGAGGGGGAGGCGGAGCTGCAGACCCCCCTTCACTCCCATACGAACTGCAACTCCACAGTCAGAGAATATGGGTTTAAGTCTGGTTGCCAAGTGCAAGCTGTATTCTTGGGCACATTATTTAACCTCTCTGAGCCTCAGTGTCCCCATCTAGAATAGCTTACATGGATAATAGCAGTGCCACCTTCCCACAGTGGTGGGGGAGCCCGTCAGGTGATATGTACACTTAGATTAGAAAAGGACCCACACACAGAGGCACTAAAGAGAAGTTTGTTAAGTGACAGGAAACGAAACAGGTTCTGAGCACGCTATCACACAGCAGGGAAGCCCAGGGAACAGAATGAGGGCTCCAGGGCCCCCACCAGTATTGGGGATCCCCATCTGGTCAGAGGCAGACAGGGTAGGGGAACAGGGCACAGCAGAGTGAGAGTAGAAAGCAGAGGTGGGTCAGGTGAAGCGCACCCGCAAGTCACCTGGAGTTCACGTGAGCAGGGGAGAAGAAACACACCACAAGCCTCAAGAGTCAGCAGGAGAGAGACCCCAACCACAACCAGACCCACTTCGCTCCACAAATGCCTGCCCTGAGCCAGGCCGCTCATTCACAAACCACTCAGTGTTCAGACCACATCAAACCGCTCTCTGCTCTAAAACCCTCAAGAGTTCCCCACCACCCACACAGGCCGGGTCCAGCAAGCAAGGCCCAGTCTCCCTTTCTGCCCTCATTTCCTGCACATCCCATGCAAGTTGAAATCATCTGATGGCTGTTGGGCAAGACATCCACACCCCTCGTCTTTGCTGGGTCGTGTCCCTCTGGGTAGAGTGCCTCCTTGCCCATCTCCCCAGGTCCAAACGTTTCTTGTCCCTTAAAGCACAGCCCAGTGCTGCTTCCCCCAGGAAGCCTTCCCTGACTCCATGACTTCAGGAACTGTCTGCAGTTAGCAGCACAAGGTCTCGACCTTGCCTCGAAGCAAGGTCTCGACCACCCTGCACGGTGGTGAGGGATTTCCATTATCATGACCGTGGGTTCATTCCCAGAGGCCAGCTCAGTCCAGGAAAGTGCCTCCCTTAAACCCGCTCACCAGGTTTTCCTCCATTCTCAGATAGACAGCTGCGGCAGGGCTGTTTGGGAGGACTCCATGCTAACTGGCCCATTTGCCAAAGCTAATTTAACAAAGATCAATTATCTAAATAAAGATTCGCTGACAACTGTTAGGCAATCACTGAACTTATTTTAATCCTGGTCTGAAATCCTTGATTGGAGACATTTTGCCACCCATGGCAGAAAGAGAAACAGAATTGAGCAGGCCAGGGCAAAAGTCAAGAAAGAAAGAAAGAAGAACTACTGGTGGGGGAAGCCCATCCACTCACGCAGATGGGGGCAGGGCAGTGTGCGAAACTTCAGCAAAATGAACTCTGATTTAAAAAAAAGTCTTCAAGACGTAGGCAAATTAGTCATTTGGTGAAACAACCGGTGGGGAGTAGTGCATTGCGCACTGCAGCTCTGACTCTGGTACCTGGCCGTGGATGCAATGCCTGGCTCTGCCCTTACCTCTGAGACTGGGGGGGTGACGGGCGTGTGTGTGTGTGTGTGTGTGTGTGTGTGTGTGGATTTCTCAACTGGGTCGTGGTGGTGAGGATTCAATGACCTTGAAGGTCAATGTAAATATGTAAAGTGCTTAGAACTATTTGCCATTTTTATGGGGGTGTCTTCCTGCTTTGCCCTCGTGGAATTTCCCTAGTTCCAGGTCCAGGTTTCCTGTTGCCTGTTATTCTAGGGTAAACTTTGGACCTGGCGTGCAACTTAAACTTGGGAAGACACAAGTGCTTTCTCCAACAACAAACCCCGCCTCCACCCGAGGCTCACATCATCCGTGAAGATGGCCAACTTCCCGCTCTCCAGCATGTCTTCCAGCTCTTCGTTGGTCGTGGTCCTCCCGGCTGTAGAGAGAAAGACGCCCCTGCAGGGACTGGGCCAGCCTAGGAGTCTGAGGTGGGGTGCGCTGGGCCCGGGGAGCCCACCCTCCCACCCGGCCTCGGGCCGGGCGCCCCTCCTCGGAGGCGGGGCGGGCAGGGCTGGGGCGGGCTGGGGAGGCGCACGCACTGATCTCCAGCTGCCGCTGGATCCGGTCCTTGCAGCGGTCCCGGTACTTGGACTGGGTGGCGTTGTATTCGGTCATTACTTCCACGAACTTCCGGGAGAGAGTGGAGTGCTGGGCGGGGACGCAGACGGTCAGGCGGGGGAGCAGCCAGCGAGCGGGCGAGGAGGCAGGGCGGGGTGGGGGGAGAGGGGCAGAGCCACCCTTCACCGGGGCACCGTCCCTACTCGCCCCTCGCCCCGGGCCCCAACCCCAAGCCCAGACCATAGGGGCACTAGGGGTGACCCAGATCCGCCCCCCACTGCGATTCCGCCCACAGCGCCGCACCCCCCGCCCCCGCGCGGGGGGCTCCGCTGGGCCCGCCCTCCCCCTCCGGCGCCTCCAGCCCGCCCAGCCGGTCCCAGGCCGGTCCCGGTCCCGCCCCCGCCGGCCACCACCTCCTACCTGCCACCACCTCCTACCTGCGTCTTGCGGATGCGCAGGTCCGCGGAGGACCGGTTCAGCCCCTCCTCCTGTTCGATGCTTTGCTCGATAGCTGCGGGAGAGAGGGCGCGATGACAGGGGGGCGGGGTGTGGGGCGTAGGGGTCCGAGACGCCGAGGGGTCTCCCCTGGGCAGCAGGCCCCAGGCCCGGGGAGAGGTGTAAGACCCAAGTTGCGTGCGGACTGTACAGAATCCAGAGGCCGCGGGAGGACCTTGCAAATAATGGGAAGGACATTTGGGGGCGTCTAGAAGGCAGGTGGAGGGAAGGTTGAGGGTTGGTCAGTGGTCTATGGAAGGGCAGGATTCTGGTGAAAGGATTGGGTTTTGCAAAACTCCTGACCAGCTGTATCTCCTGCTGGGACCCAGGAGGACTGTGGGCCCAGTCCACTGCGGGGGGGGGGGGGGGGGGGTGTCCCCTACATACCAGGAACCTGAAACCTTCCTGGAGTTCAGGAAAGGGGCGGGAAGTATCTGGGGTTTTCCTCGGGGGAGGCAGGCACTTCCCAGGTCAGGTTCTAGCGACTGCCCTTTCCATAGAAAACTAGGCTGGGTGGATGGGTGTTCCAGCAGAGAAAATAGCTCTCCAGCCCTGCAACTTGGTCTCTGTCCCAGGAATTTCCACTTTTAAAGAATGTTCTGGGGAACAATTCAGATAAACTGGGATTCCTGCTTCTGGACCACCCACTCCTGACACTCATCATCCGGGTTTTCTGAAGGAGCGGGAGTAAGACCTGCTGGCCTTGAGAACTGCAGCAGGAAGACCCCCCAGGCCCTCTCAGACCTGGAGTGCCAGCCACTCCTGAAAACCTCCTATCTCTATCTCACTGGCAGTGGGGGAGGAAGGGGGCGGCATGGCGCCCCAACACTCCTGCCAATGTGCCAGGCACACTGACCGGGTGACAGCTCCCCTGAGCGGCAGTGGGGAAAAAAGCACAGAAACACATATGGGGGGGTGGAGGTGTGTGTGTGTATGTGTTGAAATCTCTGGCCCCGGGTGGGATGCTCTTGTCAGCCTTGGGATGGGACCAAGCCCTGGAGGGAGGGGTCCTTTATAGGGTTTCATTGCTTCTTCCAACAATACTGGGGATTCAGTGCTACCGAGTCATGCTTTGGACTGGAAACTGAAGTTCAAATGACTTAAACCACTCACTCACCAAGTAGGTAGGGCCCTGGGCCTTCCATCCCATTGAGCCAGACCAGCCTGATTTTCTATTTTATATATTGAGGCTCTTTGTAAGATTTCATTGAGGAAAAAGATTTTGCTACTCCCTCTCTCCCCACCGCAAAGTCAGCTTTGAAATTGCTCATATTTTCTCCCTTTACTGAAGAAGGAGCTGTGTGTGTGTGTAGGGGGTGGGGGGTTGTCCAGAATCAGTTGATGGTGGAGGCTGGACACCCTCTACCTGGATCTCCACTTGACATGCTCCCAGCTTGGGTCACTTCCCATCCAACACAGGAGAGGTCCTGAGTGCAAAGGGCTTGCTTTGAACAGATCAACACTAGAGGCTCACTTGTCTCCTACTGAGGTCAGGAGGACATGCAGTTCTTTTCTTCATGTCCCTGACAAAGGTCAGTGCCCTCGGGGTTGGGCATCTGGCAGGGCTCCCTGTCCTCAAAGCCCAGCAACCTGCTTTGGACAGGGTAGGTGCTCAGCCAACGCTTCTGATGTTGAATTACCAGGAGCATATAAATTAGCATCACGGTAACACTGCTATTCCCCTGGCACCAGTAGACAAGGAGGTTCCCAACCCACAATGCTTTGGGGGAAGGTGGTTATTACCAGCACCCAAGTCCTTAAATTAGAGTGAATACATGAGCAGTTGGCAAGTCCCTCTTGAAAGCTTGCCAGCCCCTGATGTCAGCCACACAGTCCAATCTGTCCTGAGCCAAGGATACCAATTCAGAAGCGTTTGCTGAGCCCACCTACTGGGTGCTGAGCGCTATGCCCAGCACCTGTTCTGGAGAAATGAGGACTTAATGAAACTAAAGCCACTTGGTCGACTATATTTTTCTGGTGAACCTTCATCCTGATGGAACCAGCAGAGCTCAATTTGGACAGAGGCCCTTCTCTCCCTCACTTCCCTATCATGTATCTTTCTCCAAAGAATCTGGAACAAGAAGGAAAGTCTGGGGATTTGTGCTTTCTCACCATTTAGGAATCTGGTCTTCTAGAAAGGCCAGCTGGTTAGCTGAACGGAGGTAAAATGCTTTCTCTCCTTACTGGGGAGACTGCATTCCTCACCTTTCAACTTGGACCGAACTTTGTTGGCCGTTTTCTTGATATCTGCAGTGAGGTCCTCCAGTTCCTGTTTGGTCTCTGAGGGAAGGGTGGAGAAGGTGAGAAGTCTAGGTGGGCCAGTGGGCCCCCGGACCCCCCGCCCCCCACAGTGGCAGCAGCACTCACTCTCATCTGGGTTGGGCGCGGCCAGGATGGCGCTATGCTGTTTTTTCACTTGCTCCACATCCTCGGACAGCTTCTCGATGCAGCCCCGGATCTCTTCCACCTGGGGCCGCAAATCAGTTAGACTCAGCCAAGTCACTGGGCCAGACGAGAGGATCCAGGGGGCTTAGCAGGGTTCAGGGAAATGGGCCAGACCCAGAAAGACTGGCAAAGGGCCAGGAGTATAGAAGACCAGAGCAGGGCAGGAGGCGCGGGGCAGGTTCTAGGTCTGGGAGCACTGGATGCTCAGTTACCTGTTCAAAGAACTCATCCATGAAGTGGTCCCGATCCACGTGAACCACCTCCTCTTCATCATCGCTGTCTTTCGCCTAGGAGGCAGGAAAGGCAGAGTCCGTGAGCAGTCTCCACCCTGGCCCGGATGCTCCCTGCTCTAGGCTCGGAGCAGGGGTCCGCTGAGGAGTCAGATTCCTGGAGGGTGGCCAGGGCCCCACCCCATCAGGACAAACTGGCTATCTTGTGGACCAGTGTCCCGGGGGCCCAAGGACACCGTGCAGGCAAGGAGCGAAAGGCGGCCTTTCGGCGGAGGGCCTGTTAGTGCAGTCACCCGGGGGGCAGGTGGTGCTCAGGACAGTTGCCCCTACCCACCAGTGTGGCAGTGTTTCAATACTGGAAAGACCAGTTAAATATCAGACTGGGGATAATTGGCTCTGGGCTCCAAGAGGGGGTCTGACCCAGGAGCCTGACCCTCCCACCCACCCCCTAGCTGCTTCTGCCCAGGCCTCACTTTACTCTCCTTGTCTTCCCCTTCAACCTTCACCCCCCAGGTCATGTCCCCTGTGCAAGGTCACTTCCCAGCCAGTGCGGGCATCAAGTTCAGCGAGCACGGTCAGGCCCAGCAAGGGCTGGAGGAGACAGAGGCAGCACCCCGGCCTCCCTCGCTCAGCCTCTTCCTCCTCCCGCCCACTCGCACCCCCTCCACAGCTCTGCCCCTCGCTCACTCTCCTTGGTGTATTCACTTGCTTTCATCCAGCCTCTTCCAACTTCACACCCACCTACTCTCACTTGCTTGGATTTCCCAGTTGCAACCTGCAGCTGCTCAGCCCTCCACCCCCAGGGCTCAGAGACACAAAGGGATTTACCCACCCACACCACCACCGCCACCGCCAGACAGACCAGTGACACCGACAGAAGGGCTGACACACAAGGTACACAGAAATAGGCCCACTGAACACCCACACGGAGACACACTGACAGCCTGACGTTCACCCGCACCCAGAGCCCCAGTAAAGCTGCACATTGACATGTGTGAACACAAAGACATCACCCGCACCCCCAGTCACATCCAGGAGGGCCCTCTGGGCCTGCTCTCCCAGCCTCAGGTCTGCACACGCCTTCAGAGCTGGGTAAAGCAGGGGGGAGTGCTCTCCAGGGCTACACACTCCTGCCTCAAGACTCTTCTCTGCCTGGGACAGAAGTCTGAGGGCAAAATCCGGACCCATCAAGCTTAATTACAGCTGGAGCTCTAATCAGCCCCAGTGGAAATTTAAACAGAGTTCACCCTGATTTCCAGAAAGAACCTAGCCAAAACTCAGACGGAATCTAACTAGCAGAGGCTAAATGAAACCGAGTCCGGATGCGAACAGTGTCTCTCTGGGCTGGAGCCAGGTGGGCTCTCCAGAGGCACCCACACAGACCCTCGACAGGGTCCCAGGGGTCCCAGACAGACCTGGAGAAACCAGCCAGGCTCAGACGGAACCAGTCTCAGAGCAGACACATCCCAGACAGCTCAGCTCGAACCTAGACAGAGCCAGATGGGACCTAGATGCAATCTTGACAGCCAAGTGAACTTGGAATCAGCAGAGCCCCCGCAGCCCCGGGAGGGGCCCTCAAGCCCCTTCCAGTGGACACTCTTGAAGCCACCCCAGCTTCCGGGCCAAGTGGAATGCCGGGGAGTCTGCCCAGACGCTGGGCTCCCCCCACCCACCACATCAGAAAATATGTCAACACTTCAAATCCCAAACATCTACCAGGAAAACATCCCTCTACCCACAGCTGCCCCCAGGAGCAAGTGTGGCACTTGGAGACCCTGACGGGACTTCTGGTTTTTCCACCTGCCCCAGGCTCATCCTGGTATATCTTGACCCAGAGAGACTCTGGGAGGCTGGCTGGTATCTGAGGATTGGAAGCTTCCCATGATGCTCTCCATCTTCTCTGTCCCAAGCCAGCTGCCCCATGAGGCCACCCTCTCCTCGAGCCAAAGCCATCCCTCAGTTCCTTCTCTGCCTCCTACACTCAGTCCTCAGCCCAGTCATCATTAGCTCATGACGCCTTTTGTTGGCCTGCTCCACTCCCTGTCATTTTCCTTCCCCTCAAGTCTGATTTCTACCTCTCCTGCCATTCTCAGAGCCGGGTCCCGTGGATTCTACTCTGAGGCACCCCTGCCTACCTCCACTTGTCCTTGAGAGGGACAGAAAGGTCAAAAGGTCAAGGGCCTGAGGATTATTTGGTATAATAATTTCAGACATTCCATAATCCACCAGTTTACAACACTTGCACAACTATAACCCTGCTTGAGCCTCAGCACCCTAGCCCAGAGAGAAGGGTTGGGTAAATATCATTGTCCCCACTTTACAGATCAGAGAGGGAAAAGGAAAATGACTTGCCCAAGGGCACCCAGGCTGAAAGGGGCCAGGAAATCATAAGAAGCGAAGACATGCTTCCCGCTACAGCCCCTTCTAAGATTTGAGACCCAGCCATCTTCTTCCAACAACACTGCCACCAGCTATTTTCTTTCTCAGGTCAGCTCTTTTTTTTTTTTTTTAATAGAGGCATGTTTTTATTTATTTATTTGTTTGTTTGTTTGTTTTGTTTATACATGCACTGGGTACAGTCAGAAGCACGGGAGGGTGAGAGAATTCACCAGAGCCAGAGCGGGGAGCAGAGCAGGCAGAAGGACCAAAGTACACTGCTGAGGGGAGCAGCGGGCAGCAGGAGAGGTCTGCGCACCATGTGGGACCCTCCTCTGGTGGCCAGGGAGCAGCTGGGGATCGAACCGGTGCCGCAGAGGCTGCGGGCAGCTTCGCAACCCAGCGCTCAACCACTGCGCCACCGGGGAGGCCCTCAGGTCAGCTCTTAAGTCCTGATCGGGGCGAGGCCCTGTACCTTGAAAGTCTGGCAAAATATGATCATCTAATGGCACCTTTTGCATAGGTCTTCTATTCTAGTTATCTCAGTTAATCTTTTTTTTTTTTAAGATTTACTTAGGCATACAAGAACTGGGGTACAGGCGAGAGGTGCAGGGGGTAGTGAGAGGATTCACTGGAGACAGAATGGGGAGCAGAACAGGCGGATTGACTGAAATACACTGCTGAGGGGAGCAGCGGGCGAGACAGGAGAGGTCTGCTGCAGCGTGTGGGTTGCTCCCTGGCCGGCCGGGGATCAAACTCATGAACTCATGCTGCAGTGGCTGCAGACAGCTTCATAGGTTGCATCTTAACCCCTTGCACCACCAGGGAGGCCCTGTGTCAACTAATCTTCATGAAAACTCTGGAAGGCCCATTGGCAAGCATGATTATCATGGTGGCAAACATTTATATAGCATGTTATAATGCGCTGGGACCATTTCATGCATTCTTTCTATCCATTTAGTCCTTACACTGGCCCCAAGGCAGATGATATGATAGCCCCTCCTTATCAATGGGGAACCTGAGGCAAAGAACAGCTAAAGAACTTGCCCAAGATTGGCAGTTAAGCGTCCTAGCCTCTGCATTTGCTGAATGGCAATGATGTCGACACCCCAAAGAGTGGTCAGGGGGAGGCAATGAGACCAGGTAGGAGAAATGGCGCTTGATGAGAACCAGCTATTGCTCCCTGTCTCTCCTGTGCTAGGAATGAGGAAACAGGCTCAAAGAGGTTGCCTGACTTGCCTAAGGCTACACAGCAAAAATGGCTGGTAATGGGACTGAACTGGTGCTAAATCCCAGGCTCTTCCCCCTCCATCCTGCTGACAGATGGTAGTTCCTCTCTTCCTGCCTGGCCCCAAAATGCCTGCTCTGCTGTGTCCTCAGTACTATTGGCCTCCTGTGGCCAGAACAGAAAGGCCAGTGAGAGGAGCCCAGGCTGCAGCAAGAGTCTGGACAGGAAGCCAGGTATTCCAGTCTGCCCTTGACTTGCTGTTGACCCTCGGCAAATCTAAGCACCTCTCTGGGCACCAGTTCATTTGTGAAATGGGTGGGCTGGTGCATGTGCTCACCAGGGCCCTCCCTGCATTGAGGACTGTGTTTTTACTATTAATAGCAATTTCTGGAAGAAGTTTGGTTCATCTAGAAGGAAGCAGCCTGTAGGCAAATGAGATCACAAAAGGTGTTAATCCAAGAGGCCCCCAATCCTCTCAGGTGACCCACGAACAATTCAAGTCTCAGTTGCCTCATATGCCAAACGAAGACAATAAGAGCTGGTCAACACCCAGCGCACAGGCGCAATCGCCAGGCTTGACAAGTGCTTCGCATTTCTCACTGACCCTTCCAACCACCTGGGGAAGCAGACCAGGTCGCCCGCCTCTTCAAAGGTCTCTTGCTGTGATTTCAAAAATATACGTACAATAAGATATTTTGAGAGAAACATCACATTCCCACAATTTTTATTACAGCACACTGTTATAATTATTCTCTTTTATTATTAGTTATTGGCGTTCACCTCTTGTTGTGCCTAGTTTAGAAACTGAACATCACAGGCATGTCTGCCCAGGGAAAGCACCATGTCTGGGGCTGCACTAGCCGCAGTTTCAGGCAGGCATCCGCTGGGGGGCTTGGAACACATTCCCTGAGGATACCAGGGGCTACTGTCCTCTTCTTATTCGCATTTGACTGATGAGGACATAAGGCACAGGGAGATGAAGTCACTTGTCCAAGATCATAGCACCAGTGGGGTGCAGACGGGGTGCCCTGGGTTGCACCCAGGCACTCTGCTCCTTCCTGCTCACCACCATTTTGAGCATTTGCAAGGACTGAATGAGAGTACAGAGGTCCTGGCGCCTTCTGGAACCACCTTGGGAACAAGGGGCATCAGATCCATGCCTCTAGCTTCAGTGTGCCCTCCTTAGAACCCTCTGCCCCACAGTCTAGGCCTCCCACATCAGAGACGCCAGGGCCCAGGTGTGTGTCCACGCGGGGAGACAACCTGGGCCCAGAGATGGCAGAAGGAAAGGGACAGAGCGAGCCAGCATGCAGTGACCAGAGACAGATGGTGAGCGGGTGACTAAAACAGAGGCGGAAAGAGGCTAGAATTGGGTGATAAAAATGTCTGTGTGTGTGTGTGTGTGTGTGTGTAAACACACACGTGTGCCCACGCACACAGCCCGCACTCTATTGCACATGCTCCGCAGGGATGCAAGCATCGTTTGATCTCAAGGCAGCAGCCACTCTCCACTGTACCCCGCGCTTCTGTCCATCTGTCTCTGACCGGGCCTCTCCTTCCTCCCAGCAGTGCCTCCCGCCACCACCCTGCTTACCCACCTAGCCTGCCTCAGCCTCCGCCCACTGAGTCATTCATTCATCTAACAGATAGACATGGTTGGTTCCAATTCTCTTCTGGATGCTGCTGTGAAGACAGCGGTGAACCAGACGGGAGGAAGGACCTGCCTCCAAGGAGCTGACACTCGAGGGGAAAGGCAGACAATGCACAATGAAAGACACAAGTTCTGATTGTGCCCAGAAGCAGGGGGACAGAAGACAGGAGATGTGACAGCGAGAAACCTGTATCAGGGGAGGCTTTATACATGAGGGCCAGGGAGGGCCCCTGGGGTGGGGTGACATTTCAGCCATGTCCTGAAGGAGTCAACTGTGCCATCATCTGGGTTAGAGAAAGCAAGGGAGAGGGATGGTGGTCCAGGCAGAAGGAACAGCATCAGAGGGCCTGCCAAACAGGGCCACAGGCAGCAGGGTGATGGCCCTTGGGTGGGGGGACCTTGGTGAGTCTGAATGGCAGGAACAAGCCCAGCAGCTGGGGTTACCCAGGGTCTCCTGGGTTCCTTCTCACTCTCCCTCACACCAAGCCACTCTTTCCCTCAGTAACGTCAGGTCTGTGTTTTCTGAAGTTCCTACTGGGCCTGTTCCACACTACACAGGACTCAGGCCCTGCCCTCAGGATGCTTGGCTTGCCTCATGGCAGTCCCATTCCCACAGCCTCCCTCACCACAGCCCCCCCTTCCTCCATGTCCCAGCCTCCCCAATCCCCCTGCCTTACCCGCCCTCAGCCACCTCCTAGGCTTCAGCCCACAGTGTGTCTCCTTTGTCTTCTTTCTCCCACCAACCTCCTCTCTGTCTCACTTGCCCCCCTTCCTCTCCTCTTGAGCCCCACCCCCACCCCGTCCCTTCCTTGGACCCTGAGACCACAATCCAGCTGAAGAACTCCCCGTCGAAGCTTCCACTGCAGCCCAGCACCTCCAGTCCCCAACCAAAGGTGCCTGGTCACCTGGAATCAGAAAATGGGGTTCAACCCCAATGCTGCCATTAATAGTGATGTGACCTTGGGGAAGTCAGGTTACCTCTCTGGCTCTCAGTTTATTCCAAAACGAAGCAGTCACACCCTACCCATCTCAGGGGTGAAGTGAGGCTCAAGAGAAATAAACAAGTCATGCGTGGAGTAAGAAACACGAGCTGTGCACTAGGCCCCCTGCCAGGTACTGTTTGCATGTCGCCTAATCTCAATCCTGAGAAGCAGGTACTATGATTACTCTCAATTCATACAGGAAGACACTGAAGACCAGAGATATTGGGCAACTTACCCAAGGTCACACAGGAAGAAAAGCTAGGATTTGAATCCAGACCATCTGACTCCCAGATCTATGCCCTCAACCACTATGAGGTAAACAGACCACAAAGCCCTGGGGAACCCTAAGGTACTATCAGAGAGACAACCAGGCCCCTGGACTGACATCCCCTCCCATCATGACCCCTGCTTCCCTCCTCCCCTCTCAGAGACCCTTTTCCCAGGCCTCCCACACCTGGTCTCTGCAGCCTTCCAGCGTCTGCTCTCAACTCTGGGAGAGACCCTGGTGCTTGCTGCACTCCTTGCATCTGGCAGCTCCTTCCCCAACCCGCCCCCTCCCAAAATCTCCAGTTTCCCTGAGCTATGACTAACACTCAAGCCATCAGCCTGTGCCCAGCCCCCTTCACCCCTCCACACCACCTCCCACCTCCCCTACCTAGCTGCCTGAAGTAGTTTCAGCAGGCAGGGGCTCTCTGATCCACTCAGATGAGGACTCCCATCCTCTGCCCTCCCCCCATTATGCCACCTACCACCACCACCTCACCCCAACCCACTTGCCATTTTGCTGGGTTTTGGAGTCATGGAATAGTCTGGCATCAGGAGACGGGCTCCAGTCTGGATTCCTTACTTGCTAGCTGTGTGACCTTGGCCAACATATTCAACCACTCTGGGCCTAAGCTTCCTCAACTATTCCTCGTTCAGTCTCTCAGTCTACCTACCAAACCAGGTTAGTGAGGATCTGAGGAAGCTATGGGTGGCAACGTGCTTTGAAAACCAGATCACGAGAGAAGGGATGTTTTGAGCACTAGGCTGGCGCTTGCGTGCCTCTCAGTAGTATGTAACTTTGGTCAAGTCACCGTTCTGGGCCTCCGTTTCCTTATCTATAAAATGGGGTAACACTAGTCACAACCTCACAATCATGTTGCTGTGAGTTAACATGTATAAAGCATTTAGAACAGTGTCTGGCACTGTTGGTTATTTTTATTATTGTCATTTTCCTGATGCCTGAGTGTATATTCAGTAAAAGTTTAATACTGAAATAAGCCTTCAAAATTCCCTCCCTCAACCACTAGTTCCTCCTCCCTTCCTATTTGCCAAACCCTATCTCCCCAGAGACGATGGTCTTTCATCACCTTCCCCTTCCCTCCACCCCAAATGCAGGGGATTCTTTGCCGCCAGCATTGAGAATCCTGTTTCCAAGGCCAAAAAAGCAAAGACACATGTGAACAGTGGAGATGGGAAGCCCAGATTGCAGGCAGGTCCTTCCATCCACCTTCCTGGTGACCTTGGGTAAGTTCCTGCCTGTCTCTGAACCTCAGTTTCCTCATCTATCAAACGGGGTAATGTCCCCGAGTAACGGCCAACAGGCTCCTGGTAAAGACCCAGCCCATCAATACTTGACCGTGACTGGAGCTTCATTAACATGACACCTCAGGCCAGGAGCACTCACAGGCTGTTAGCTCAGCCACCTTGGGCCTGGGGTCATTCTTCCCAATCCCGTAGCATTCTCTCTGGCCCAGAAACCACTCTCCTGAAGTCCCCACTCCCTGGCCCCTGCAAACAGCCTGCACTGAAGACACAGGTGCCGCCCTCCTGCCCCATCACCCCACACAACTAACCCAGGCGGACTCCTGGAACCAGGCCTCTCTCAGCCTGCAGATCGGGGGCATGTCCGCCTGCCCCACGGTCCAGGATGCCCCAGTTCCCCCCAGCACAGAACAGTCCCGGTCACACCACCCAATTCCTCGGACCCCCCCCCGCCCCCCGCGTGCGTGGAACTTCCCACCCCGTCCCTTTATTCCCCTCTTCCACCTCCGGGTCACCCCCTCTCAGGCCCCAAACCCCTGGCTGTGTGCAGAGGCTGTCCCTTCCCTCCCTGCCTCTGAGGTGCCCCCTCCCCATGGGGAGAAACACACACATGCACACACTCTCTCCATTCACCGCCAGGTGTGAGCATCTCAGTCCCAACCTGTGTCCTTCCCCACAGAATCCCCAAATCTGGGTCCTGCTAGACTCAGCCTGGCCCAGTAACCGCCCCCATCCTGCTATTTCAGCAAATCTGCCCAGGGAGTGACAGTACCCTCCAGCTCTCTCCTGACATTCCTCCTCAACCACCCCCAGGTTAGACCCCGGCGCCCTGGCGAGCATGTTGGGTGTCCAAGGCCCCCTGAGACCTCTCCTGCCGCCTTGTGTCTTAATGGCCTCCAACCCCTTCCAGTCACTGTCCCCAAAAGGTTCAAAGACATGAAGTGCCTCCAGATATCGGGGTGTCCCTGCTACCAACCTCCAGTCTCATCATTTGCCCCGAAGTCCCACACCTCCCCCACTCCACCCCCACGCGCTCCCCAAATATTGGGGTCCCGCCCCCCATTCCCCCCACCCCCATGCTCACACTCCGCAGCTCCTGAGTCCGATCCTTCATCCTGCGACGGCTCCTCCTCCTCCTCGTCCTCCTCCCGCTTCTGCTGCTCCCTGCCTCCTGCCTCGGTGCTGGAGGCCGGGGTCTGGGGGCGCCGGGGGGGGGGGGGGGCCGAGCCGCTAAGGGGGGGCCCGCAGACGGGGGCGGAGCCGGGGGCGGCCGGCCGAGGGCCGGGCAGGGTCAGGGGCCTGGGCCGGGCTCGCCTCTGCCGGGGCTGCGGTGGCGATGCGGCTGCGGCACAGGCTCGGATGGAGGGATGCGGGAGCCGAAGCGCGGGGGAGGGGGGCGGAGGGAGGTAGGGAGGAAGGGAGGGGGGAGCCGGAGGGGGCGGGGAGCAGGGGGCATGCGCAGCGCCCGGGGCTGGGGGCGCCTGGGGGTTGTAGTCCGGGGAGGGGGACCCCGGGGGTGGAGGAGAGTGCGGCCCGGGGCAGGGGGGGGGGGGAAGAGCCGCGCCGGAGAAGCCGGGAGAGATGCCCAGAGAGACAGGAGATGCGGCGAGAGGCCCAGTGGTGCTGGCGGGGGGGGGGGGGGGGGGGGGGGCGGTAATAAGGGAATGAATTCAGGGAATAACCTGGAGAGAGGTGCTGTGGAGCCCCCCACGCTGAGAGACACAGAGAGATTTGTGTTTTGTGTGGCTGGAAGTCTCTGTGCGCTGTGCACGACCACCTCTGTGTGCGTGTGTGCGTGTGTGTGTGTGTGTGTGTGTGTGTGTGTGTGTGTGTCCCTACAGGAGGCTCTTTGGACACTAGAAATAGCATGACTGACCCTCTAGGTGGCTTTTTTGATGCAGGGACTCAGCCAAGTCTAGCTGAGGAGGCCCTGGGGCTTGTTTTTTTGCACAGCCTTCCCCACTCTGAGCCACAGTCCTAGCAGTGGGGCATCCTCAGAGCTTTCTTGTCTGCCTCCAGCGACGGCGTGCTCACCACCTTTCAGATCTCCAGGCCTGCCTGTAGATGACTCTCATATTTTAAAACAAGGTTCATTCTTATTGGGAAAAGACCCTGGAAACCCCAAGGGTCCAAGTGCCCTGTATTGCCCTCCTAATGCCCACCTCTCCTCTCCCTATCTCTGTGTTTTGACATCAATTCCTCCACCCCTGTGGGGGGGCTTCAGCCCCAAATAGGCCTTGAATCTGTTTTTGCCAGGTGCCCAGTGACCTTGATGCCAAATGCATTGACCTATCCTCCATGACCTTTCAGTTACATCTAACCCCACCCCCCACCTAGTGACCTCTCTCTTCTCAAAATCCTCCTCCCTTCCTTGTCTTCACCCCTGCCTCCTGTCCTGCCTATCCCCGAAACCTCTGGATGGTGTTTCCTGGTCTCCTCCCATACCCCCCCTTCTCCCACATACCCTCAACATCAGGGTCCCCTGGATCTCCTCCCAGAGTCTCTATTTCCTCTTCCGTCTCAACTCCCCAATTTCAGCTGCACCTACAAACCCACAATCCCTCCATCTGTACTTGTGGGCCAGATTCTCTTCCTCAAAGGCAGCACCTGTTAGGCACCTGAGACTGCACTGGGCACCAAGAACGCAGAGACAAAAGATGCATCCAGAGATACGAGCAGCTCCATGACCACAGCCAGGCTCTGTGGGGTGGCCTCACCTTCCTCAAAGTTCCTTGTCCTGTGTTCTCCACCGGAGACCACATCTCCATCCACACAGTCACTCAAAGCAGACAGAAGGCTGTCCTTGGCTCCCTCGCGCAATTTAACAATGCTGCCGTGTCTGAGCAGCCATTGTGTCCCAGGGCTCTGCTGAATAATTCCCAGTTACTGCTAGTATTTCGCGCGTACTGATGAGGAAACTGAGGCTTGGAATGGTTAAATAAAGAATTCAAGCTCACAACGTTAGTTAGTCAAGGACAGGGCTGAGGCTCTTAATTTGCATCTTTTGATTACAAAGCCCATTTTTGTAAAACCACTGTGTTAGAGCGCCTCCCTCAACCATCACATTCAGAGTTGTCTCCTGGGTCCCTTCCATCCTGCCCCTTTAGATTCACTTAGGTCCTCGTCCTCGGCTCTCACCTGACCAGCCGAGCGGCCTCCTCTCTGGTCTTCACATTGACCACCCCTCCCCTTCGTACTCACTGTTCTCCCCAGCTGCTAGTGTGATGGTTATAGCCCAAAGGTAACATCAGTCTCCTAGACCAACATTCCCAGTGGCCCCATGGCCTCCCAGTTCCCACCACCATCACCTCATCTCCCCTGTCACTTCCCTCCCTGTGCCGTGAGCCCCAGGACTTCACCACACTAAGGATCATGGGCTCCAAACACACTCAAGTCTTTGGCCTGTGCTGGCTCACTGGCCCCTTCTGTGGTATCACACTTCTTGTTTCAAGGCCCAGTCTAGGCAGACAGCCTCTCAAAGTGTGGGCTTCCTCACGAGACCAGAGAGACCTGACTCATGTCTGCCGTTCATAACCAACACAAGCTCAGGCACAAAGCAGACATTCACTAAAAATCTGAACGAGTGAATGAATGAATGAGTGGCATATTCTCTCACACGCTTGCCCAAACATAAAGACAATAAACACAAGTTCTAGGAAGCCTTACATTTTTGTTTGTTTTGTTCATTGCAGATTCTCCAGTGGCTCCATGGCTCTTGGCACATAGGAGGTGCTCAATAAATATTTGTTAAGTGAACGGATGAGTGAAAAGTGTGCAACTCAAATCTGGCAGCAGCTCTAAAGATGGACACAGGTACATGCCATGTGATAACAGTGGAAACTCCTCTCATTGTCAGTGATTCTAGAGCTCATCACATCCACAATGACTTCAAGTCTAGCAAGTAACACTGCCAGGGTGGTTGCCTGAACCACGCGTCAGCCTCCAGCACAGTCTCCCTGCCTGTATGGCCTTTCTAAAGCATCTACACCACCAGGCCAACCTCTGCTCAGAAAATCTCGTTTCCCCATTGGTCATGAGATAAAGCCCAGGTTACCTAACCTGACTCCCCTCAGAGCACATGCCACCACCGTCATGTATCCTGACTTCAGCCCTAAGGTACCTCCCACCTCCATGCCTTTCCCTGGACATCCCCTGGAAAACCCTCCCTCCCATATGCCGAAGCCCAGCTCCTATGCTTCCTTCACGGTTGAGCTGGAATCTTTCTTGATCTTCCTGAAGCTGGAGGAAAAACCTCTAACATGTAGATACCAGCCCTCTTTCCTGAGAGAATTCTGATGTAGAGGATTTGGATTAGGACCCAAGAATCTATCAATAGGTATCTAATGATTCTGGCAATTCTTATTTTCAGTCAAATCTGGGAAGCCTGGGCCTCCCTGGTGGCACAGGTGGTTGAGCGTTGCACTGTGAAGCTGTCCGCAGCCCCTGCAGCGCGGGTTCGATCCTGGCCGGCCGGCGAGAATCCCAAATGGAGCAGCAGACCTCTCCTGTCTCACCTGCTGCTCCCCTCAGCAGTGTATTTCGGTCAGTCTGCCTGTTCTGCTCTGCTGCACCTCCCCCTGCAGTGACCTTTAGGGCTAATGGCTTGCGCCACCGTCCCTAGGTCTGGCTGGGCAAGGAACCAGCGCGCAGGGGGAGAACAGCAAACTCCCTGAAGACATAGATAAGACGGAAGCCTGTTGAAAGATAACGACCCCCAGGAGCCACTACAGGAATGCTGACGGCCTGGAACCTTATCTCGCCTTCTCAAGGCCCACAAACTTTATTCTAATACAACTGTCTCTCTAAAATCTTTTCTCTTTCTAAAAATCTTTTCTCTTTCTCTGTCTAAAAAGGTCATTGGTTTGCTGATTAAAAAAGAACATACAAAATCTAATAACTAGGCTAATTCAAATGAAACGTTACTAAACTCTGTGTATTAATAGAACTGTTAGCTTAATAATTTCTCTGTTGAATGCTTAGCCTTGTTAGTATTAATCTTAATGATAGAAATATTACATTGTGAAAAGTAAAACTCACCCGTGCTAATTAATAGTAATTTAGTGAGTAGTTAAAACAAAAAAGTAATCACATAAAACAAAAAGAAAAATTAATAGCCTAACTACTTAGGAATGCGCCTGGGTCCAGATGTAAATCACTGCCCTGTCAATGATAAGCTAAACCTATAAGCAAGCTGATTTCTTCACTGATGTTCGCCATTCCTATGCCTTTAGAAAAACATATATATACTGGTCACCAACTCAAAGAAAATTACACTCAGATTTTCACTCTCTTGAAGTGTGTCTGTTTGTCATTTCTTTCGCCGACGCCCTGACCACCCTGCACGCTTCTCTCAACCCTGAGGCGGCCTCATCATCTACTGCTGTGCTGGTCTGCGACACTGCTCCCTGCTCTGTCTCTGGTGAATCCTCTCATGCTCCCGCGCATCTGGCCTGTACCCCAGTTCTTGTATACAAATAAATAAATCTTAAAAAAAAAAATAGAATGTTATGACCAAAAAAAAAAAAAAAATCTGGGAAGCCTGCTATATCAGATTGGCAAGGCTAAGGCTAGGCAATGCTATGTAACAAACATCCCCCAAATCTCAGTGATTTAATACAACAAAGGTTTATCTTTGCAGAGGTTTGGATTACTTCCCAGAGCATCTGTCCTTCAAGGAAGACTCAGGCTTCAGGTGGAGAAATATATACATAACTTGTCAGGTCACGGGACTCTGAGTGCTTCATGTTCCAGGACCCCCATTTGATTCTTCCTTCTCATGGTACCCAGCACAGGACACATTACGATGGCTGTGCTCAGAAGCCGAAGACCCACTTGACCTAGTCATTCATTAACTAGTAAGGATTGAGTCCCTACACTTTGTGCTAAGCCTGTGCTGTGTGCAGGGGGCGGAGGGGCGGGGGGAAGTGTTGGGGTGGTGAAAGGATTCACCAGAGACAGAGTGGGGAGCAGAACAGGCAGATCAACTGGAACACACTGCTGAGGGGAGCAGCGGGCGAGACAGGAGAGGTCTGCTGTGTGCCATGTGAGTAGCTCCATGGCTGGGGATTGAACTCGCGCTGCAGTGGCTGCTGATAGCTTCATAGTGCTGCGACTTAACCCCTTGTACCACCAGGGAGGCCCGCCTTTCCATATTTATATATAATGTGCATCCTCACATTTTGACAGTGGCATACCTGCTGG